CCATGTTGTCCTTGAACCATGTTGTCCTTGAACCATGTTGTCCTTGAACCATGTTGTCCTTGAACCATGTTGTCCTTGAACCATGTTGTCCTTGAAGCATGTTGTATGCTCTGTAAAATAAAGTGAAGTTTACAAATGATATATCATCTTAGGGGGCTTGCTGGGAGTATCAAATCTTAGGGGGTTGGGCAATACTACGTTGTAGTTGAAATCTGCTCGGAGCCCCCTTGGGTATCACCCCATGCCGCTTTTAGACCCGTCTCATGGCAACAGTCACCCTCTGGGAATCTGCATCTATTCAAGTGCCTCCCACTCTTCTTGATGTGTTTGCTCCTTCACTTCACCTAGCCCTCTGTCACTATGTGCAAGGTATTTATAGGCCCTATCAAATACAAGTGCGGCTAACATGCAGTGATGAGGGTTGTGGCGTGGTGAGGGAGACGGTCAGATTTGGGGAAATAACCAAGCGCCATTTGGATTGTGAACAATGCAAGGTATTGAATCTCTTTTCGCTGCCAGAACACTCCGACAGTGTAAGCTGAAGCCAAAGTAAACCTGCCATGTGGTGCCATGCTGCGTACCAAAGCTCTCTACACCCGTCTACCATGCCCTGGTACCAATTCGACCTCGTCAATCATGTCTCGCTCCCCAAGACTTGTTCCTCCAGACCGGGATGCCTGGCCTTTTCATGGAGGCAGGACTATCGAAATTTGGACAGTATGTCTACCCGCAGCCTAAACCCCCAGGAGGCGACCCGTGATACTCGTACCGTTAAGACTGTCCGGATCGTTGCATACCGCTGGCACCGCAGGACTAAGCATTAGCGACAACCACTCTCTATATGTCTTCTGCTTCACGATGGAAAAGCCGTCCGAATCAACATGGCAGCCGAAGCTGGCTACATCGATGGCCGACTTCTGTGGAGCAAGCACGATTGTCAGCTCTCGACCTCTGCAATCAGACACTGGGGATTTCCACGTTCAAGGAACGGTTCGAGTGGGCGACATTGCCAATCTTCCCTACCGCAAACATCGTCATTTATATGACATGTCAGGAGGGGGTTCTGGGTGTCGGTGGTGGTGTACGTAATGTCAACTGGTCTTGAGGTTTTTGCGATTAACCTGCCGCGGTACACTGTTTTGAGCGACTGGTGCACTGAAGGCTGGCTTGCGAACGCTGCACAAACCTTATGGCCTGATCTTCTCTATCTTCTCGTATCCCATTGCATATAGTCCAGGGCACTTTCCAAAACCCCGGAAGTCGCAGCAGGTAGTCCTTGCCCACTCAAGTAGGTGGAAGTAGAGAAGAAGGATTTACAAGGTTTTGAGGTTCGGCTTCGTCGCACCTTTTGATAATTTCAGCTCTTGGTAATGTTATTGCGACCATCCTCAAGATATAGATTTCTGAATCGGCTTAACTTCCTGGTTGTGATGGAGAGGAAACTCGATGGCCGCTGGGCTCAAGTCTTCGGAGAGTCGGTTTTCAACGCATTATTCGGCGTTGCCAAGCTGTTGGACAATGTGGACGTAGACTCTCGGGTTTCAAGAATGAAAGGGAGTGAAGGGGGGAAGGAATCTTCCGCTGAGGTCAGTGGTATTTGAAGGCAGGGTGGAACGGATATAGGAGGGTGAGTCGGCGTCGGGGGTTCTGGTCCTCCTGTGGCCAGGTATCACATACCCCGGCTCACTCTGACTCGCACGCGACGGGGGTGAGTACAGGGCGGCATCACCCTACGCCGGAAGCAGGGCGATTCGCGAGCAGTTTTTCCAGCACTTGGCAGGGACTGGGATGCGATTCACGGGACTGGCGTTGCAGTCTGTGCTCGCGAGCAACTTTCACTTGCAGCCGGCGCAAGAGCCTCACTATTATTGTCACTTCTCATACACATTCATCTCCCGTGATTCATTTGGCACCCAAGCCATAGAATCTCCATATCGAATGACACTGCTCCGCACCCGGTTTCCTTGCCTATAAATCCCCCTCCGCTCTCCTCGAATCAACCACCTTCCTCTGCCCTCCACAGACACTCCATAACATTAGCCAAGATGCCTGAAGATCTCGATCTGAATGATGAACGCCGAGATAGCCAGGAAGACGGCGGCGAGGAAGAAGTAAGGTCCCCGCTCTTTCTGCACAAGGCGGTGCTGACAATGTTCTACAGGAAGAGATCGCAGCAATGAAGAGGCGCGTCGCGGAAATGGAGTCCGAAGCGGCGAAGCTGCGAGAAATGCAGAGTCAACTAGAACAACAGTCAGAGAGCGGCCGCAGGGAAGACCGAGAAGATGTCGATGCGCGCAGTATCTTCGTCGGCAACGTGGACTACAGCGCAACACCAGAAGAGATCCAAGCACACTTTGCAAGTGGACCAGGGACAATAAACCGCGTCACGATTCTGCTGGACAAGTTCACTGGTCATCCAAAGGGGTGGGTTTAAAAATCCAAGCACTATCCTGCATATGGCTTGTTCAAGAGCTGGATGCGGTCCAATATTTTCAAGATCATTTCATGCTGCCTGGCAAGAGATGGATTACTAATGGAACTTCGCGCAGGTATGCATATGTGGAATTCTCAGATCCTGCACTGGTGGCACAGGCCTTGGTTCTTAACGAGAGTCTCTTCCGTGGCCGCAATCTCAAGGTTGGTGTGGATGCTCAATTCCGTGAGGCGAGTGCTGATAGACTACAGGTTGTTCCAAAACGCACCAACCTTCCCGGCATGAGTCGAGGTAGAGGAGCAGGCAGAGGCGCTCCAGCCCGCGGCGGTCGAGGAGGCTTTGGAACCCGAGGTGGTTACGGTGGTAGCTATGCAGGACCAGGTGGTGGCTACGCCCCCCGAGGCGGCCCACGTGGTGGTTTTAGAGGACGAGCTCGTGGATATGCCCCTTATTGAAGGCCGGCGACACCTGTAGCAGCTTGATTGTCAACATCAAAGGTGGCACAAAACACCCCGGGGCTTGCGAGACAACGACAGTAAAGGGAGGAGTCACAACTGTCGTGTGAGTGCTGGCCGCCACAGCATACAGCATACAGCATCCTGGGGCTCGAGACATTGGTCAATGAGAGGCTCTCATCTCCCCTTAGTGTATGGGGCTGACCAAATTCCGCAGGCTTGCGAGGGACTTGGGTGATGTATGAAGAAGATAAAATTCATTGGACTGTTGAGGTGTCAACACGAGGGTAAGCCACCATATGGAGTGGACCACATTAGGGAGAGAATGGGCATGATCTCATCCGAAACATCAGCCTCACCAGGCCTTTCATGATGAGCTGACAACAGATCCTACATGCAGACCAGTAGCTCTGTTACACTTGTTGAAACTGCATCGACAGATCCGTTGGTTATAAATTCACACTGGTGGTAGCTGGTGGTAGTAGCTCCCTGTCGTGCCTTCCACGATTGGTATGATGTAAGCTGTCGTATAGTTGGTCGTAGTAGCGCAATCTGGAGGCGGAAAGTCCTGTCCTGGGTGTGTAATGGGCCTCCACCTCCACTCCAGGGCTGAGCAGGCAAATCACTCACAGTTATCAACTTCAGCGACCAACTAACTGCCTACGCTTTCTTCACTTGATGGTGGTATTGTCAATACTTTTTCTCTCTTATGCAAGCATGACATGAGCGCGCCCTCTCGCTCCTGCGCCCGCCGGAACAAAACCCTTATCCCCCATACCGTGCCCTTCCGCAAAGTTCTTAGCGCCTGAAGACACTCGAGCTGCGCCTCGTCCAGCGGGACCCTACTCCGTACACTGGCTGACCTTGCGAATACGGCACGACCTCTAATCCCCAAGATATCCTGTGAACTGCAGAACTCATCAATCTCTTCCTGGACCTCCTTTCTCTGTATGACAGAGGTCTCGTACTGTCCATCCTCACGTCTCATTGCTTGACAAAATTACCCCGCCTACCTACTGCCGGTGGCTAAACACGTCGACCGCTACCGCGCGGTCAGGAAAACAACATGCCCGAAGCGAATCAGCCTGCGTATGTAGCCGTCTTATATCCCTGATTGGCAATGTTTGCTAACCACGATGCAACAGAGAACCCAATCTGCGAGTCACGAGTATGTCCCAGGGTTCCCTTTGATCTGTTACCAACTCGAGACTGACCAATTTTTCAAGTCATCGCGGCCGACGGGCTCTACAAAAGAGATGTCTTCAGTGAGTTTACACGGGCTGAAAATACCCAAAAGAAATGGCTACTAAGACTCTGTAGGATTTCCCGACCCTTTCGCCGTCGCGACCATCTCAGGAGAACAGACCAAAACAACCTCCGTCATCAGGAAGACATTGAACCCTTATTGGAACGAGTCCTTTGACATGTGGGTGGTTCTTGTCAGGCAAAAAATACAGCCCATCCGCTGACTTTGATGCAGGCGAGTTACAGAAGATAGCATATTGGCCATTCAGATTTTCGACCAGAAGAAATTCAAGAAGAAGGACCAGGGCTTCCTCGGAGTTATCAATATCCGCATTGGCGATGTTATTGATTTGGACGTGGGCGGAGATGGTAGAGCCCGTCACTCGGCATTTCTATACCCCAGATACTAACGGCTATCAGAGATGCTTACTCGGGATCTTAAGAAGTCCACCGACAACCTTGTCGTTCACGGAAAATTGATCGTGAACCTATCCACCAATCTCTCTGCGCCCCCTCCAAACCAGCAAACTCGACCTGCCCCGAGTACCGCACCGAGTGTCAACGGCTCACAGCCTTACTCTAGCAGCACCGCTGTGAACCAGACCCTCCCTGTCCGATCCAGGAGTCCGGCCCCGTCACGCACGGCCACGTCGGCCTCAGGAGACGCTAGAGTGTCCAGCAGCGCCGTGAACGGCTCTGCCACACAGACACCATCCAATGGCCCTGGCAGGTCAGGAGGGTTTAGCTCCTTCGAGGATAGCCAAGGACGGTTGCCAGCTGGATGGGAACGCCGAGAAGACAATCTAGGTAGAACCTATTACGTTGACCACAATACTAGGACAACGACCTGGACAAGGCCGTCGAATCACACGAGCGAGAGTGAGACTCGCACTCGTCTCGAAGCGAACATGCAGATTGAACGTCAACGACATCAAAATCGGATGTTGCCTGAAGACCGCACTGGCACGAGCTCGCCAGCGTTGCAAGACTCTCGGGGAGGGTCTCCTTCTCAACATAACGCGGTGTCAATGATGGCTACCGGGGCCACTACTCCGGGTACCGGAGAACTTCCGGCCGGTTGGGAAATGAGACATACCCCAGAGGGTCGAGCTTACTTTGTCGACCACAATACCCGAACTACGACTTGGGTCGATCCGAGAAGACAGCAGTATATCCGTATGTATGGGAACAACCCATCGGGCAACAACACCACCATCCAACAACAGCCCGTGTCGCAGTTGGGACCATTGCCTAGTGGTTGGGAAATGCGACTCACCAATACAGCCCGTGTTTACTTTGTCGACCACAACACCAAGACAACGACCTGGGATGATCCACGGCTGCCCTCTTCCTTGGACCAGGGCGTTCCACAGTACAAGCGTGATTTTAGGCGCAAACTTATCTATTTCCGGTCACAACCTGCTCTGCGCATTCTGTCTGGGCAATGCCACATCAAAGTCCGACGGGGTGCCATCTTCGAGGATTCGTATGCCGAAATTATGCGGCAGAGCGCGACTGACTTGAAGAAACGTTTGATGATCAAGTTTGACGGCGAAGATGGTCTGGATTACGGTGGTCTTTCTCGGTAAGTCAGCCCCTAACACCGACTCTGCTCGTGCTGACGTTCTGTTTAGGGAGTTCTTTTTCCTGTTGTCGCACGAAATGTTCAATCCGTTCTACTGCCTTTTCGAATACTCGGCGCACGATAACTATACTCTTCAAATCAATCCTCATTCTGGTATCAACCCAGAGCATCTCAACTACTTCAAATTCATTGGTCGGGTTGTCGGACTGGCAATTTTCCACCGCCGGTTCTTGGATTCCTTCTTCATTGGCGCCTTCTACAAGATGATGCTTCGGAAGAAAGTAACCATTAACGACATGGAGGGCGTTGATGAGGAATATCACAAGAATTTGACTTGGTGCTTAGAGAACGACATTACCGACGTCCTTGATCAGACCTTTTCTATCGAAGACGAGCAATTTGGGGAGACGAAGACAATTGACCTGAAGCCTGATGGTCGTAACATTCCGGTCACAAATGAGAACAAGAGAGAATATGTCGAGTAAGTCATGCTGCCTTTGAGACTGCGAGCATGTCAGATTCTAATCATGTGCAGGCTTGTGACCGAATGGAAGATTGTAAAGCGAGTGGAAGAGCAATTCAACGCATTCATCACCGGATTCAACGAACTCATTCCTCAAGATCTCGTCAATGTCTTTGACGAGCGTGAGCTGGAGCTTTTGATCGGCGGCATCGCTGACATTGACGTTGACGACTGGAAGAAGCACACCGATTACCGTGGCTACCAGGAGTCGGATGAGGTGATTCAGAACTTCTGGAAAATCGTCCGAACCTGGGATGCAGAACAGAAGAGTCGTCTGCTGCAGTTTGCAACCGGCACGAGCAGGATCCCTGTCAACGGGTTCAAGGATCTACAAGGAAGTGATGGCCCAAGGAGATTCACCATCGAAAAGGCGGGCGAAATCAACGCTTTGCCGAAGAGTCACACGTGGTATGTTGTGTCCTCTCTTCAATCGACATCAGTCTGGTGTTCTATATCTGACTTTGCCGCAGTTTCAACCGACTCGACCTTCCCCCTTACAAGTCTCACGAAGTTCTCCAGCAAAAACTTACGATTGCCGTGGAAGAAACACTGGGGTTCGGCCAAGAATAGAATCTTGTTCTTTTCGCGCCGGCCATGCGCTTAGCACATGGTTATTCTATTCGAGTACGCCTAACCAGTGTTATCCGGTCCTTGCGCTTACATATCCGACCCCTCGACTAGGGAGACATGTAGGACGCGCAGGGAATTTAGACATATTGCGGTGCGTCGTCTTTTCTGCACCAGAAACTGAAGGTGGCTTGATACTAGTGCTGGTGGCATTCGTTGGGCGGTGGTCGATTTGCGCCGGTAACCGTCGGCGGCGAGCTTGGGATCGTGTTGGTCCGCCTTGGTCGAGTATAAGGCGCAGCATAGTCGCTGGCTATTGACGGAGCAGAATGTTGACTGCTGATTGATTGGACTCGTCTGGTGACGGAGAACATGCAGCGCCGTACGTAAATGCAGGGGAGTCGGTGGATGGAAATGCAAGTGACAGGTTATTTTCACTCCCTTGGTTCTGTGCAATGCATTGATGGTTAGGAATCGACACTTTGGTAGTGGGCATCGATTTCGATGAAGGGCATTAAATAAATACAACTGGGGGGTTGGGATGGGTCGAGCAAAGGCCTGCGGGAATCACTACTATACTCGTACTTGGTAGCAGGACTGTTGAAGTGTCCGTTGCGTGGTGTATACGTAGGGTTTCAGGTTCATTCATTCATTTCTAGGCCTAAGCTTCAGCCTCTCAACGGTTTCCGAAAGCCAGGCTCTACAAGACTGTATTAGCATTCAGGGTACATAGTGATAAGGCGAACTTCAGCGCCGTATTGAGACCGGTTTGAAAGCGACTTAAACCCGCATTAGAATCATATCAGTACTAACATACTAGTACTTCGTACCTGGGGTTGAAATCCGGTTGAAATGGCTGTATACATACATAGTACCTTCATAGCAGTCGAGACGTCTAAGGCCAGACTGGGTTCGAGACAATACTAATCTACTACGTATACATACTAGTATATTGTCTTGGTAGTACTGTATAATGCCATAAAGAAGAAGAAGCAGGACAGGATAGCTGAACTTTCAGTTTGTATAGTAGTACCTAATACATAATGTATGTAGATGCATGATACATAATTATGCCATTAGTATCTCGTCGTTGAAGTCGTCAGTATTATGAATGAATGCATAGGTGATCCGATTCAAGTCCAAGCTTGTTGATGGAGCTGCTGGCCTACGTACGTCGCCAGGGTCATGGCCAGATCCATCCCTCTGGTGTATATGGCGGCGGATCGTCATCTTCTTCCACTCGATGTTCCTCAACTTCTCCTCCTCCTGGATGATCCTCTTCTTCCAAGTCGAGAGTCAAGTCGAGAGCAATCTGGACCTGGCTGTCCGATGGGGCAAGCGTCGTCTCCGCTAGATTTCCGGCGAGTCGGCATGGTTCGGATGAGACCAGTTCTCCAGACGCCATTTCTGCATTCTGCCGCAGCTTCTGTAGATCATCATCGGCCTGGTCATAGGCTAGGCCATGGTCAGAGTCATTATCAACGCCGGCTTCGGGGCTAGGCTTCCCGTCTGCGCTCTTGGACGGGCCGTTGGAAAAGATGGGAGGTTGCTGGTCTTCCGTTGTGGAAGTGATATTGTCATCGAGTATCAACCCATTGATCGGCTCGTCGTCATTGTTACGCGAAGCATCGGGAGTCTCAGTCGCATCATCTTCCTCTTCAAGGGACCTTCTTCGGTATTGTTTGGTGTGAACCTGAGGATACCAGAGACGCAAAACCTGGTGATACTCTGTGACGGTTGCGTCAAAGCCATACTCTTCTTGTATGGCCCGCTGAGCTGCCGGGTAGCCAAGTTTCTGGACAAGAAAGGCTTCCAGTATCACGGTCTTGAGGGTACACCACTCCTTGACACGATCTTCGGATATTGACATGATCATGGTCTTCAAAGACACCTTGTCTTCCAAAAGCTCGGCATTCGTCCGAGCAAAGGTCAGAGCTCCCTGATCCTGGCGGTTGAAATCACGCATCTGGGATGGCATGGGAACATGAGTACAGCGTCTTCTCATGCCGAGAATAAACTCTCTGCTATATCTCCAGTAGCCTCTCTTCGAGTCATAGATAGAATCCCCCGACGGAGCGGCTGATTCGGTCATGTAGCTGCGGTAATTGAGAGTGTCGAGATGTCGGACGAACTGGGGAATGTCAGCGTCTGGATCGTCTTTGACCGCCTCGTCACCACGCATCTCCCGCCGAGACATCCTCATCAGCTTCAAGCGCCTCTTGTTGTATTCCTCTAGGTCGGCTTGACGGGAAGCCGCATTGCGTGCCCGGGCTTCGACCATCTTTTGGTTCCAATGGTACCTAGTCGTGCCACCTATCTGTCTGGGAAGCGCCTTGTCGCACCAAAGGCAGATCCTTCTCCGTTCCTTGTCCGCATCGAGCGGTTCTCTACAGTCCTTCCCGTGGCAGTTTGTAGCTGCTGAGGAGATGGCTTCCCAGTTCTGCAAATCTTTACAGTCGAGGCAAAGCCAGCCATCGTCCTTCAAAGTGCAAGTACAGGAGTCCTTGGTACTTCCATCTGGGTCATACCACTTTCGCTTCAGCGGAGCTTCATTCGGAGGGTGTAGCACAAAGCGCTCGCTCTGGCTTGGATTTCCCGTCTCCCAGCACCTGTTGCAGAGATAGCGTGCCCGATTCTGAAACGTATTCTCGTGGCCCCGGGCGAACGAAGAGCGGACGATGCAGGCGTCACATATTGGTTTCGAGCAATACCGGCAAGGCTTGGGGAATGGGCCTTTGGTATGAGTGCGGGAGGAGCATTCGAAGGGTGCTCGGCGCTTGAGCCGCTGCCAGTACAGCGTGCCATGTTTCCCAATGTGCAGTCCTTCACGGACGAAATGGCAGTCTGTGGGCAAGGTGCAGTCCCGAGGCTTCTCGAACCCATGGAGAAGAGCACGGAGACCGACGCTTATTCTGGAAAGAGTGATCAGATCCCCGGCGGGAAGATGCTGGCTTAGACTGCTGACAACCGGCCACAATGACAGCACTGTCTCCAAGGTTGGAGATGGCGTTGAGTCCATGGTATCTGCGTCAATCTGATGGGTGACGTGATGGTGGCTGTGATCAAGCTCCGTCAGCATGGGCAGTGATGCTCCATCGACCTGACGCAAGGAGCGGATGGTGTCGCCTTTTTCTAGTAGGGGCTCACGACAAGCTCGCGCCGGCTCTGGTAGAAGTCCGAGTTCATTTGGAACGGCGGAGAGCTCGTGAGGTGAGGAGAGGAGAGGTGAGGTGAGGTGACAGAACTGTCACTCGGCGACCTTCGCTGTGGTTCCGTCCGCATGTCGCATGCAGTGAGGCTGGAAAAGGCCGCAACATGGTCGATCGGTGTGGCTGTGGCTCCCCGGATTTTGTGGCTGGCGCATGTCTGGTCCGCCGTTTGCTGCTCAAGCCTCTCTCTGCCTCTGAACGTCGACTTTTTTTCCGGCGAGAAGTGCAAGGTGTAACGTGTATACGAGCATTATCCTCCATGCGTTGACCCGGATTCCAGGTGCTGAGTTCGCGAGTGCAGCAGTCGCCTTCTACGCGCCTTGCCACCACTCTCTAACCTCTAACCTACCTCATACGCGCTCGGCTCGCCCGACCAAGGCTGGTCGCCATGTCTCTTCAAACCTACGTTGACAGTACGATCTATCTGTGCCCTCAGCTTCCACGATAGTCACAAGCTGATAGATTCTTATTGCAGAAAAGGTCCTGGTCATCACAGTCGACGGTCGGACCCTCGTCGGAACCCTCCTATCCTGCGACCAGGTCACCAATATTGTCTTGAACGACACGGTCGAGCGCATCATCCGGCCCACCGACGACCCTGAGCCGAGCTCCCAAGTCAGTCATGGCTTGTATCTTGTGCGGGGAGACAACATCACGATTGTGGGACTTGTGGACGAAGAGCTTGACAGCAGCATCGACTGGGAAAAAGTGAGAGGGGAGGTCATTGGGACTACGAAACATGGGTGAACAAAACAATAATGGAGACACAGCGGGAGTTTTCAGAGTATCGTGGAATGGCTGCTTAAGGGTGTACAGCGACCAAGACCAACAGCGACGGGAAACGACGTCGAGATGCGCACCGTAACAGAAAGAGGTTGATGTTGATCTCGAGCCGGTCAGGAGATAGCCGGGCGAGCGTGAGCGCCAGCAAGGCCTTCTTGAAGACTGAAGAGATTGAGACGGTTCAGCATGGCCAAAGAGTATGTCTCGTCTATGTTCAGCCCAGATACCGGTGGTTAACATCTCCATTAAGAAGCGGTTGTCTCAAGTCTCTCGAATACTCCCATTGTGCCTTTTTATGGCACATGGCGCACCTGCTGGCGGACAATCAGGCCGTGTTCCAAGCTCCTGCTTGGGATCGGGCGATACTTGCTCGGTCGGATGTCAAATCTGCCTATCCTATGTCTCCCGGCTCGGCTCCTACCACCAACGAACAGCGGCGAAGAGTCTACAACATGGACGACATGTTATCTCGAGGGAGTGAACATACAGTTCTATATATCTAAATACCCTCGTGTCGAAAGACATGGTACCCGTTACCAGACCGTTTACTACACTTGAAGCAGGACCTTGCAGACACACAGAACCTGGTGAGATTTTGGACCTGCAGGCTCCGGCTCACTCGTTGCCATCGAGATCAATATGCGAAGCGGAAAGAAGGGTGGCATCCCCAAGATTGCTCTTTTTTTGGCCCGTGGCCGTGGCCTCGCTGTTGTATCGATTCTTATTTGCTGATTAGTATACGGTATAGCAGGTTGGTGCCAGGTACTAAGCGTTGCGATTTCATGATTGTTATGAATGGTATGGCATCCATCTATGGCATCTATGTTGTCTATTCGTATATGGCTTGAGGCTCTTCTGTCTCGTATGACCCCTACCAGCATATCCCCATCCACCATATTTACTACCCATTGACTTGTCACCTACTTCACCTCACACGGGTGGGTGGCTTTTCGGGGATAGGTACGGCCCTTGAATCCTTGTCATGTGTGAAACTGATCACCCACTCTCTTAACTATACTACCTTGACTTGGCCAACAGCCCTTCCCATGCTTGAAGCGGAATCTTCCCCTTTTGCGGCTTGTCCGGCTGGCCCCGGACATAGTTACCGCTGTGCCACAACTCTATACCCAACGTCTCGGGTAAAATCCAGTCGACGTTCTTGCCAGAGAAGTTCATGATCACCAGCCAGCGTTCGGCGGGCGAAGAACCCGTGCGGATATATGCAAACACGTCGGGGTGTTCGTGCGCGACCTCCTCGTAGTCTCCATAGACAAAAACGGATGCATGCTTCTTGCGATGCCGGATGGCCCGTTGCCAGAATTGCCAGGTGGACAGTTCGTGAGAATTATCAACATGCATCTGGTCCTCGACATTGATGCCTTCGGCGTAGTCGTCCATGACGCGCATCCAAGGCTGGACGCCGGGCTCGGTGAAGCCCGCTTTCTCCTGGCGGGACCACTGCATTGGGGTACGGGCGTGGTCTCGGGCCTTCATCTGGATGATCTTTTTGGCCTGATCGAGCTGAGTCTGATCGTCACCGTGTAGCCGCTGGACTTTCTTCCAGTAGTTTTGCGTCTCAATGTCCTTGTACTCGGTGCTGACGTCCCAGTCGATCGGGGCGTTGCGCATCCCGATCTCCTCGCCCTGGTACACGAACAGCGTGCCGCCCAGGGTGGTCAACATCAGGGCGAGCAGTTTGGCGCCCTTGTCGCGCACCGTGTCCGCGTCATCGGCATACCGACTCACGCTGCGCGGGTTATCGTGGTTCTCGATGAAGACCGAGTTCCAGCCGTCGCGCTCGATCATGCATCGCTGCCACCGGCTCACGATCGACTTGAGTTCTTTCACGTCCCAGGCCTTCAGCGCCATCCGCACGTTCGGCTTGTCGATGTCCACTATATCGAAAATGAAGATCATGTTCAGCTCCCCGGCCTGCGAGCCCACTGTGCGCAGAATCTCGTCTGGATCCGATACCCCCGGCATCTCACCCACCGTGATTGTGTCGTAATGCGAAAGTACTTTGCGGTTCATCTCACGGAGAAATTCATGCAATCTGGAAGGCATGTTAAGATAGGCCCATTGGCGGAACGGAAAGGCTCTGAGGGTGGGCAGGTTCACTGACCTTGGTCCATTCACAAAGAATTGCGACCCAGGTTGGTACTTGTGGCTGATGGGGTCCAAGGTGGCAGGGGCATCGGGATAGGTGAGGACTTTCGAGATCATGTTGATGACGTCCATCCGGAAGCCGGCCACACCACGATTGAGCCAGAAGTGCATCACATCCCACACAGCCTCGCGCACTTCTGGATTCTCCCAGTTCAGATCGGGCTGCTCGGGCGTGAACAGTGACAGATAGTACTCGCCGGTCTCGTGGTCGTAGGTCCAGGCGGAATTGGCCTCGCCCAGGATCTGAGCCCAGTTGTTGGGGGGTTCGGGGACGCCGGCCTCGCTGACGGACTTTGGCGGTTTCCAGATGTACCAGTTGCGCTTGGGGTTATCCTTGGACAACCTGCTTTCCAGAAACCAGGCATGCTGATTGGAGGTGTGGTTGACGACCAGGTCCATCATCAGCTTCATTTCTCGCTTCTTCAACTGGGCGATTAGCTCGTCCACGTCTTCCAGCGTTCCATACATTGGGTCAATGGCTCGGTAGTCGGAGATGTCGTAGCCCATGTCGGCCTGGGGTGACTTGTAGATGGGACTCAACCAGACCACATCGACGCCGAGGCTCTTCAGATAGTCGACCCGCGAAGTGATGCCCTTAACATCGCCCCAGCCATCGGCATTCGAATCCTGGAAGGATGACGGGTAGATCTGGTACACTACAGCCTCTTTCCACCATTTCGGCTGCGCGTAATGGTGATTGTTATCCAACCTCCCATTTGTCTCGGACTGGGTCGTGGCTGTAGAGGCCGGCGTAGATGCGGCCGTGGATGTAGACGTGGACATAGTATCGGCTGATCTGGAGGGTAGGTTTGCAAAATATGGGAGGAAATACTATGGAAGTAAGAGTACAAGAGGAGAGAGGAGGATGGAGAGGTCTATCAAGTGTTTCCTAGTATGGTCAAACTACTCACCGACTTACCGATGCAATCGACAGGGTTCAAAATGGGAATGGCATTTTTATCCTGATATCTGGCTGGTAGATAAGAGACTGTCTCCATTATCATCATCTTCTCCAGCTGTGTTCGCAGTCGCAGGCGTCAATGGTCAATGAATGAATCGGATTCCCACCTGCAACTGGGCTTGTTTCGGCGAGAGAATCGCCGCCGTGTCGTCATCTCTATCATCTCCAAATAGGGCAGCATAGCCGCCTAAGGCCTTAGGAGCCCCCACGTGACTGAGTGTTTTAGTACCTTATCCCTCACTGACTCCTGACTCCAGCTCCAGACTCCAGACCACCAAAGCACCGTATAGACAAGGTAGCGTCTAGATGGTATGCACCACCGTATCTTCCCTTGTTTAACAGTCTACCGTCAGGGTTGGGACAATTCGTGCCCGAAGCAACGGGTTCGGACCCTGACAAGAACGAGTGAGTGGTGTGAGTACACTTCCACCTATGAGACGTACTTTTCGTACCTCTTGAACAGAAATGTTGCGAGGCCATGTGAGACCCAGAGGATACAGTACTATCAAGTGGCAGTCTCTTTAATCTTGTTTTCAGCCACAGAACTCCATCAGCGGGCATCTTCAGCAAGAGGCCAGAGACAAGGGCCCCTAAGCCCTCGTCGCCTGCCGGAAACGAGTAGTGGGCACGACGGAATTGCTCCGAACTCCATATCCAGTCAGTTTGACGTTGACATCAACTACCTGCATTTTCAACCAAGTCAACATATCTCATAGGAAACCTGTTGGGAGAGGAATCGTCAAATGCTCCTCCGGCTAGGACGACAATCTATCTACGTTCAACAACCGGAAACAGGAATCAAGTATGGCGTCTCTCAAGTCATGGTTTCCCATTCCCAGGTCCAGTCATTTCTCCCTCGCCAATCTGCCCTTTGGCATTATTTCCACCGCATCGGGACCTACGCCTCGAGCAGCGGTGGCCATTGGTGATCATTGCTTGGATCTGCAGGAGTTCTCGGCGTCGGGGGCCTTCTCATCTTTGGGATTCGACGTCGCCTGCTTCTCCAAGCCTACACTCAACGACTTTGCAGCCTTGGGCAGACCAGTCCATCGCGCAGTGAGAAAACACCTCCAGGATGTCTTTGCCGAGAACACGTCCATCCCGGATGTGTTACAGCACAATCCCACCTTGCAAGAGAAGTCCTTGATCCGTCGCGACCAGGTGACTCTGCACGTGCCCATGCAGATTGGAGACTACACCGATTTTTATGCAGGCAAGAACCACGCCTTCAACGTGGGCTGTCTTTTCCGAGGACCAGACAACGCGCTTCAACCGAATTACACGCATTTACCTGTGGGCTACCACGGCCGAGCATCATCAGTGGTCGTCTCCGGTACGCCCATCACCAGACCCAATGGCCAAATCTTGGAGAACCCGGCGGCGACTCCCAAAGTCCCCATCTTCAGTCCCTGCCGACGACTCGACATTGAATTGGAACTGGGGGCCTTTGTGTCCAAGGGCAACGCACTAGGCACCAACATTCCCATCTCTGAAGCGGCGGATCACATCTTTGGCTTTGTTCTGCTGAACGACTGGTCTGCGCGAGACATCCAAGCCTGGGAGTATGTTCCCCTGGGACCGTTCCTGGCCAAGAATTTCGGATCAACCATCAGTCCGTGGGTCGTGCTCACCGACGCCTTGGAGCCGTACCGGTGTACAGGGATCCCCAATGACACACCGCTGCTGCCCTATCTTGAGGAGAAGGAGAAGAAGAATGTGTATGATATTCGACTACAGGTGGATATCACCCGTAAGTACAGCCACCTTCCACCCAGCCTCTGGTAATGGTTTTTTGGAAAACTGACTGGACTCGACTATGCAGCCGAGGGACAGCCGCCGACCACCATCCTCAACTCCAACGGACGACACCTGCTCTTCTCGTTTCCACAAATGCTCGCCCACCATACAGTTGGCGGATGTCCGATGGCGGTGGGTGACCTTTTGGGGTCGGGCACCATCAGTGGGCTAGAGCCAGGGACGGAAGGCAGCCTGCTGGAGATCACCCAGGGCGGGAAACAGGCCGTGCAGTTGAATGGCGGAGTCGAGCGGAAGTTCCTCCAGGACGGAGACACGGTCACTTTCTACGGGGTGTGCGGTACAGAAGAATCTGGTCTAGTCGGGTTTGGGGAATGCTCGGGCAAGATCCAGCCTGCGCCAAAGATATGAAAGGAGATACGATAGGATTGGATGGAGCAATGGAGCAATGTAGCGGAGCCTCGAAGTGCCATGTCAGAATTCAGAAACGGTGAATAGTGCAGTGCCAGTACTCAGCACATGGGCCTTAGGTCCGGAGGAGGCGGATTAGGACACAACAGAAGTGATCAAGCACCTAAGCATACCTATTAGGTGCCACCAGGTGCCTACCACCAACCTACAGGCTGTTACTTGCCTAAAGGTACGGACCCTAAGCCGCCAATTCCGCCCTGGATCCCTCACCCTCTTACCCCGGACTTGCCGGATCTTCTCCGCCTCTTCCTCCACACACCCAGCGCCCCCTGCGCCGTCCAGTCCCGCCCCTGGTCCGCCCGGTAGCCATCCTGGACGGGCATATTTCCGCCATTGCCATCTCCATCGAACATGCAGACATACCTGGTAGTGCCTGGTACACCACTACAAACAGAGACACGCTGTCTGCCCCGCGAACGTCATGCATGGAACAAACAGCGCACCGGGTCATACGGTCCTACCGTCCTCTCGTCCTACCAGACGCTGGCCGAAGGTAAGCGGCGCAATGCCAACCTCTCACCTTACACCCTGCACTCACCTTGATCACCGAGTTTCGGCCAGCATGTCACCTACTCGACGCATCTACGATCTACGGGGGATCCCAGAACTCGGTACATGAAGAGACTATAACTGACCTCCTCCCTTCGATTGTCCTTGTATAGCAATTCCACCTTCCTAAACTTGCGACCATTCAGAGATCAAACACGCCTCCAGGTGCCTGAATCAACGCCGCAGCTCTAGGGGCCTGCCATCCCACATATATTACACGGCATATCGAGCAGGCCTAACTAAGGGAGACCAGTCTGTCCCTGTGGTATCTAGCAGAGACTGCCTGAAACTGCATAGTGAGGCACAAGAATGTCTGCCACACTGTCTCCGACCACGGTTTCCTTCCTCCTCCTCACCCTGGGATACTTCCTGATCCGGTACCTCAATTCGACCGACCAGCCGAAGATCAAAGACTTGCCTGAAGTCCCCGGTGTGCCTTTGTTTGGCAATCTCCTTCAACTAGGCCAGGATCATGCCCGCATCACTGCTCAGTGGGCAAAGAAGTACGGCTGGCCAGTGTTCCAGACTCGTCTGGGCAACCGACGCATCATCTGGGCCAACACATTCGAATCGGTCAAGCATTTCTGGATCACGAACCAGTCGGCCCTGATCTCCCGGCCCACGCTGTACACCTTTCACAGCGTGGTGTCGAGCAGCCAGGGATTCACCATCGGCACCTCGCCCTGGGATGAGTCGTGTAAGCGACGGCGAAAGGTGGCAGCCACCGCGCTGAACAGGCCGGCCGTGCAGAGCTACATGCCCTTCATCGACCTGGAAAGCTGCGTGGCCATCAAGGACATGTACCAAGACAGCAAAGACGGAACAGTCGACCTGGACCCCCGCAAGTACTTTCACCGGTTCGCACTCAATACCAGCTTGACCCTGAACTACGGCATCCGTATCGACGGAGGCATTGACCAGGAGCTGCTCCGAGAAGGTTGGTTCTTCTTCCTGTCCTACAAAGACTACCCTAGGCTGAGCTGGCTAACACACGAGATATTCTCTCTGCAGTGGTGCATGTCGAGCGAGTGGTATCCAACTTCCGAAGCACGTCGAACAACTGGCAAGATTACATCCCACTCTTGCGACTGCCGCTCGTCTCCCGCCAGAACAAAGCGGCAGCCGAGTACCGCCAGCGCCGGGACAAGTATCTGACCACGTTCTTGGATATGCTCAAGGAACGCATTGCCAACGGGACGGACCGACCGTGCATCACGGGGAACATCATCAAAGACCCCGAAGAGACGCTGAACGAGGCCGAGCTCAAGAGCATCTGTCTGACCATGGTCTCGGCGGGCATCGACACGGTGCCGGGCAACATGATCATGGGCCTCGGATACCTGGCGTCGCCGCAGGGCCAGCACATCCAGCAGAAGGCGTACGAGGAGATCATGAAGGTGTACCCGACCGACGGCGAGGCGTGGGAGAAGTGCCTGGTGGAGGAGAAGGTGCCGTACATCACGGCGCTGACCAAGGAGATTCTGCGCTTCTTCACCGTCATCCCCGTGTGCCTGCCACGCACCAGTATCAAGGACATCAAGTACGACAACACCGTCATCCCGGCCGGCACCGTCTTTTATATGAACGCCTGGGCGGCCGACTACGACGACAGCCACTTCAAGGACCCGGCCCAGTTCATCCCCGAGCGCTACCTGCACGACCAGGAAGGCAGCGGCACGCCGCACTACGCCTTCGGCGCCGGAAGCCGCATGTGCGTCGGCTCGCATCTGGCCAACCGTGAAATCTACACCGCCTTCCTGCGCATGATTGTCGCCTTTCACTTTGTGCCCGCGGCCGATGCAGCCGACTGGCCTGTCCTCGACGCCCTCGGTTGCAACAGTATCCCGACCGCCTTGACCACCGAGCCGAAACCGTTCAAGGTCGGCTTTAGGATTCGGGACAAGGATGCCCTTGACCGCTGGATCCGTGCGAGTGAGGACCGCACCAAGGATTTGTAGGAGGCACACACACACACCAGCCCTTCTCGATCGATCCCTTCGGAGGCAAAGGGGGCGGGTGGGTGATGAGGGAACTGGTGCGCTCTGATCTGGGCCTTCAGTTATAGGTAGCCTCCTGGACGAGCAGTAATCATCTATGTATGTACTACTGTACTGTATGTTCAGGACCCCTACTCGTTAGTACCTTAGTCCATGGGGCTGGAGTTGGTACTGCGTGAGATGAGAAATCGTGCCCTAGGGCCCAGGCTGCGTGCTGTAGTCCACTCACTTCGCGAAGTCTCCTGATCTTGTGATGCAACAGGGTGACCAAGGCTCGAGGTGAATGGAACGAAGAGTAAAGGGGACTGGATTGAGTTAGTATCACTATACGCCAGCACAATGACACCCACATCGAGATTGAGAGTCATCGCCGTCTTCATCAAACCGTTATCTCGCTACTGCCGATGGCCATGGCCTTGGCCCTGGCCCTGATGACTGAATGGCTAGATCGACTTGTGCTATTTGTCTCATGCTGCGCGTTTGTCATCGATTGTGCACGGAGTCAAACTGCGTTGGTCGGTGGCAGGTAGTCAGAGAAATGACGGAACGTTCCTGTCGTTTATGTGAAAGCGGACGGGACCAATCTACCTACCTGGACCTCCAAGAACCTAGATGGCACCTGTATACCTCCTATATACACCCGTCGATTCAGACCTGATCCCCTATACTTCGTACTGCCAGCACACATTATTTTTAATATCCCTTTCTGTCTCCCCGCAGGCACAGCGCCCAACCTAGCTCTAGTATATCGATTATAAGACCTGACTGTCCTGTCATCTCACATCTTTCCACCATGTCAAGTCGGCCAAAATGGTATGCTACGGAGCATGTGAGATGGTGGCAGCGCAGCGAGATCATCCAAATCGCCAAGGACTCGTTGGAACAGCGGCGAAGGCGACAGAAGATGAAAACAGCGCAAGGTGAGTGATGAATCTGAGGCTGAAAGAAACGTCACCAGTCATCATGCACCCTGCACAGTCACGTTGTCTCTAGTAGTTATCGTCAACCCTGGTTAGTGTCTTGTTCATATTCCCTGCATTTATCGGGTTCTGGGCGAGCAAATGTCACGCAGACCAAGCTGCATCTCGGTGCCGGTGCATTCATACTCCTGACACCATGTTGCTCTGTATTGTGCCTTGCGTTGGAGTTTTGCGCGCATCTCGAGGCACCACCAGGCACCACAGGCAGGCCCCATCGGTGACATAAGACGAGCAAGCAGGGCGAGGAGGCCAGATGATTCGCTGTTGCCACAGTGGGAGACTCGTCCGCTTTCGGACAGTTCTAGATCACGGAAGAAGTGACTTTGGCCGTTCGATCCGTTCGTTCATTTCTGGCCGCCCAATGCCAGTCAAAGTTGGAGGATGAGGGATGATAACAAGCACCAAGACGGGTTCAAGTTCCAGCGGAGGTCGGTTCTCGCGAGCTCAGGCTATTTTTCCGGCGGTCGATCAATCAACAACGTGGTATTCGTATGATGGCATGTCGACCCTCTCCCCTCCGACAGGGATTGGTTGGCGTCATCAGCTCGGGCGTCCTCGAAACGTGCTTGATGGGAAGTTGGACTTTGCCGTCTGTGCTTGGGCGCATTTCCATTGCCAAGGCGCAGTTTCCAGCGCAAGCTGCGTGCTGCACTGGCAGTGGATGTAATCGGCTGCCACTGCGTCATGCCCCCCCGTACGCCGTACAAGCTGGTCCTCCTGGGCTTGTTCGGGCGTCTCAGGCTGATCCTCAGGCGCTATCGCCTAAGCCGCGAGGTGTTTTGTCGGCCTAGTCGCCAGGACTCCGGCCGACTGACCACCTGAGTGCTGAGTCGCACTCAACACAAACCAATTATGATACAACAACTGTCGGACGAGGTCTTATTTTTGAAACTCTGCTTGAGGAGCTCGATCTGGCACAGCCATGCTCTAAATGAGGCTCAGGCCGCCGACCACCGTGTCTCCCAGATAATCTGTCATTACTCGAAGTAAGCGGACTGATCTTCCTGATGAGGCGCTCAGCGTTGAGTGCTTTTTCTGGGGGCGGCAGCCAGTAGTGCCACCTTTCCTACGTATCAGCGGCAAAGTCGGCACAGCGGCAGTGGTGCCCAGGGAGCCCGAGGCGCCGAGCACGCCCATTAATTGGGCCTGGCGATCAGCATCCCACGGGCTTACGGGCTCCTGCCACTACGATCTTGTTATTGTTGTGGAAAACCTACGCCTCATCCCGCCATCCACGCTCTTCGACCAGTCACCGCAGCGCCCTGCCCTCCATCCATCCAGTCCAATCCCACCATTTCCCCCTCTATCACAGCTTGTTCGCTTTTCTCGGAGGCCGTTACGCTCTTCGCTCCAGCTTTTCCAGGCGATGCCCCCGATGTCCTGATGCCCACCTTTCCTTTTGACGGTAGCTTGCTTTTTGATCCTGCAAGCGGCGGCCCACTGCCCACTGGCGCCGATGCTTCGCAAAGCAGGACCCTGATGGGATTTCATTCATATTCCTCCCACGGAATCAATCCTCACTTTCCCTTCGACTCATTCCGCACTCTCCTCTTTGCTGTGAGCAGTCGATGAATTTACTCAATTCCAGGTGACCCAGCGACCATACCGCCCCTCATGCAGGGCCTCAAACGTTTGCAGGAAGCCATCGAGCGGCACCGTGAGAACAAGGACATCAACATCAAGTACAAAACTCCCCTCACCAGTAAGTCTACCTCTGCTCCTCCTCGCTGCCCCCCCATATCCAACAGCATTCCCTGCCAAGCGAGACTCAACCTCGGACGATTTCCCGACTCCACCTTGCCTGCAATCGGATACTGACGTCTTCGCACCGTGCAGTCCGCAACGTGAACACATTCACCGACGAACAAGCCATCGACGATGCCTGTAACCCCATTCGCTGTGACCGACACGTACGAATATCTGAATGGGTTCGGGGGATACAAAGAGTAAGGCTGCAAAGCAGTTTGGATCATAAGGAGACATACTAACGCCACTCACAGGAGTGAGGCTGTAAAAGGCGCATTGCCGCTGGCGGCCAATTCTCCTCAGAAATGCCCTCTTGGGTTGTATAACGAAAAGTTGTCTGGAACTGCCTTCACCGCTCCGCGAGACGACAACCTGCAGTCATGGTTGTATCGAATCCTCCCGTCGGCCAGCCACCAGAACTTCGAACCCGTCCCTTCGTCCTCCGACCAGGCGCTGACCACTCCCACCCCAAGCTTCGGCACTCACTTCAACGCCATCCCAAACCAACTGCGGTGGGATCCATTTGATTTTGACAAGAAGGTCTCATGGATTCACTCGCTGCACCTGGTGGCTGGTGCAGGTGACCCCACCATGAAACAAGGAATCGGCATCTACATCTATGCAGTTGGTGCCACCATGCCTGAGAAGACCGCCTTTTACAGCGCAGACGGCGACTTTTTGATTGTTCCACAACACGGCGTCCTCGACATTCGCACTGAGTTTGGCAAGATATTGGTGCGCCCCAACGAAATCTGCGTCATTCCGCGGGGAATTCGATACCACGTTACACTACATGACGGTGAACCCGCGCGAGGATATATTCTGGAACTGTACCAAGGTCACTTCAAGTTGCCCGAGCTGGGTCCGATTGGGTCGAACGGGTTAGCCAACGCACGAGACTTCCAGTCACCTGTGGCCGACTTCATCGAGGATCACGAGAACACCGAATGGACCATCTACGCCAAATTTGCAGGCAAGCTCTTCTCGGCCAAGCAGTCGCACACTCCCTTTGACATTGTAGGCTGGCATGGTACCTACTACCCCTACAAATACGACCTTGGCCGTTTCAACGCGGTGGGCAGCATCTCTCACGATCATCCTGACCCATCCATCTTTACCGTCCTGACTGCCCCGTCGCACGCCCATGGTGCCGGCACGGCGGTGGCAGACTTTGTTATATTCCCCCCTCGGTGGCTGGTCGCCGAAAACACCTTCCGACCCCCATGGTATCATCGCAACACCATGTCCGAGTTTATGGGCCTCATCACCGGCAATTACGATGCCAAGGGGGCCGGAAAAGGAGGATTCCAGCCGGCTGGAGCCAGTTTACATAATACAATGAGTGGGCATGGGCCAGACATGCAGACATTTGAAAAGGCGTCGACGATGGACCTGCCGCCACAAAAGGTGGGCGAGGGTAGCATGGCATTCATGTTTGAGAGTTGTCTGATGGTGGGCGTCACGGAATGGGGGTTAAAGACGTGCCAGAAGGTGCAGAAGGTAAGGGTTTGCCCATATTCCAACTTGTCATGCCGTGGATGCTAATACTGGCTGCAGGAATATAATGCTCATTCCTGGGAGCCGTTGAAGGTGCATTTCAAACGACCAGATTCGTCACAGGTTGCGAGCAACGGGGCACAGGATACCAAGTGACGACTCGTGTTCGTTGGAGGTCTCGGTGTATAGTACGGAGTGCTTATGTATATGCTCTGGTCGGTTAGAATCGGTGATAGCACAGCGGCAATGGAATATGTCGCCCAATTGAAAAGATGGCATCCCACATGCTACGACTGCTCGTCAGCGAGTCCTCCCCTATTAGTATCACCTGCCAGGTGTATGTGTTGAAGCAAAGCGGGGGATTAGGGGACTGTATCACCCCCACTAAGTAAGTAGCCAGCTGTAGGGGCAAACTAACCGCAATAATCATGGCTCCTGAGACCCAATCTGATCAAATCTCGCAATCCACCAAGCCACCGTGCCAATCACGTCCACCTTGCTCCGCACGTGCGAGGCTCTCGCCGTCGACTTGGAACTGTGCAGCTGGTTCGATGCCGGGCACCAGGCAGAGGAGGAAGCATGCTCCTGAGTCCTCCTATCATCAGCCATCCACCGCACACGAGGGTCATTTGGGCTCTTTGGCTCAGAGGGCGAGGGTCGAGTGTCGAGTGTCGAGTGTCGTGTGCTCCCCTACACGTGCCCACGTCCGCCCGCCTCGACGATTGTCTCAACCTCCCGTTCCAAGCCCCCAAGGTATTTACTGTCCGCCGCCTGCTGCCTGCTGCCTGCGTCCTGTTCCTCTCTCTCGTTTCTTCGTGTCTGTCATGACGACGCCTATCAGTGCCAGCATCTACCGCCGTCTCATTCCTCAGTCGGCCCGTTTTGGACGGACCTGTCTCATGCTCTAAGACCTAAGACCTTGTCGGCATTGGAAGCCTGAGCCCCTTGCCTCCCCGCGTGACCGAGTGACAATTCCTCCTGTCCTTCTCCAGAGCCGTCCCGCCCTGCGCTGGGCTAAGGTCTGGCCCCTCTTGACATCAGCAACCGGAGCTTGAAGTTTGTGATAGCGGCTCTTTCTCCATCATCTTCATCATCTATCCAGCATGCCCCGGCCACGACTCCCTCCCACTCCGACCTGTTCAACAGACTTGAAAGCACAGGAGAAGACCATTCAATCCTCAGATATGGAGACGGTGTTTGCCCTTCCCCCCCCGGCCTTGCGTCCCAACGAGGGGGAGTTACACCCTCACCGCTCCAAGTCTACCACGCGAGGAAATTCCATCAGCGTCCCACTCTCTGAAAGAACGCCTCCCGTCTCGCCGACAGACAAACCGCTCACGTCCAGTCCTCGCCATAAACGAACTGCGTCTGGTGCCATCAAGGCCAACACGGAACCAACCAACGCCCAGTCAAAGTCCTCATACGAGCTTCCTCCGCCTCCCACTCGCGCCCGGAAAATCATTCAGATGAAGCCAAAGACCACCACCACCACAACCGCCAGTGCCTCCTCACCCAGCGACACCAGTTACCAACCTCCGACGCCGGCCGCGTCAGCTTCCAACTCAAGCTCACGGTCAAGCGGCACGGCGACCAATTCAAAGCGCAAGCAAACTTCGGCTGGCAGTGCGGCAGGACGGAAGATTGCCCGGAAAACTGCTCATAGCATCATCGAACGGCGCCGGCGGAGTAAAATGAACGAAGAGTTTGGTGTCTTGAAAGACATGATTCCTGCATGCGAAGGGGTGGAAATGCACAAACTGGCCATCCTACAGGCGGGGATTGAGTATGTTCGCTACCTTGAAGGCTGCGTGAGGCAACTCAAGGCTGAGAATGAGAAAAGGAGCAAGAGCGAATTTGAAATACCCCAGATGCCAGTTTATGAGCACATGGAAGAGGGCGAGGATGAGGAGGGGGAGGAAGGGGAAGAAGAGGACGACGAGGACGAGGACGAAGACGATGATGAAGAACTCCACCACCACGACCACACAGACAAGAGGACCTCCGAGCCCAATTCATCTGCCAGACGGCAAAAGGACCACCCTCCAGCAGCTGTGGTCAATGAATGGTGTTTGAGAGAATCGCGCACCTCTTCCATCGCCTCGGGGAACAGTTCGGCGTTTTCATCTCCACACATGCAGAGTCAGACGCAGAGTCAAAAGGGCGATCAAGCCCGTATCCACAAATGTCCCAGCCTTGCCGCTGTCGGCGAGGAATTGCTGGCCGCGTCGCCGACTCAGCCATTGACTCAGTCGAGCATCACGTCGGCAACCCCTACTCCCACTCTGCTCAGTCCGGCCTTTAACGCGATCCATTTCTCTCCGGATTTGAGCTTTCAAACAAGCACAAGCACAAGTACAAGCAACAATGTGAGCACGTCCGCAGAGGGCAGAAGTTCGAGTCTCAATCCACCCTCGACCTCTACGTCTGGGTATTGGACGACTGTGAATCAACGCTCCGCACCCAGTCCTCAGATGCAGCCTCTCCCGTCGCCCACGGCCTCGATGCATCTCCCGTTGCCTCATCCCCCACCGTTCCAATTGGCCGGTTCGGCGCTCCTTCCTCGGCCGACCTTGCCCGGCCAGCGTGACCGGGACACTCACACCAAGTCTCCCGGGGCGTTGAGTGATGTCTCGGGCACTGCGGAGGCCACAGCCGGCGCGGCTCTCATGATGCTCACCAACGAATGGAGAGCAGGGGCCAGAGAGCAGGGGAGCAGTAATGGCAGCGTGAGTCGGGGTCGGAACAGTACAGATAGGGCCAAAGGGATGAGTGTGAGGGATCTATTAAGCCCATGAGACCAGGGTTATGTGATCTTTGCAGGTCGCTCTGATAGTATACAATCGCTCTCTGGCCGTTGATTTTGACGTGTCGTGTCGATCGAGTCATGTCTATGTATCTATATGACTAGGTCTATGTCTAACATCATCTACTGACTATATCTCTATCTCTGTATATGAAACGCATCGAGAGTATACATGTCTAATATTAAGCTCCGGTAGTATCTATGTGACTAGGTCTATGTCCAGCATCATCTACTGACTATATCTCTATCTCTGTATATGAAACGCATCAAAAGGTGTACGGATACATGTCTAATATTAAGCTGGGGTAAATGCTCGAAACACAGCAAATGCCCGAAACACATCAAGATTTCTGAGGTCTGTTCAGGCCGCCTCATCATTCAGCCTTCTTACTCTGCTTCGTCCTTAACTTCATCAAGAGGTACACCAGAGCGTAGGAGCTGAAGACAAAGATGACGACAATGGCCGCGTCTCGCCATCCGTCGTATTGGTGCTTCAGGTTCAGGGTGGAGAGATAGTCGGCGCCGGTCTTGTACTCGCAGACGCGGCAGTTGCTCGTGGCATCGGGGTTGGTGAGGTTGGCGACCTGGCCCTGAACTCCGCCAAGATAGTCGGCGAGGTAGTCGCGACAGGTGGTGTTGGCCGGGGTGTCGAACATGGCAAACTCGTGCTCCTTGCACTTGACATCCTCGTCCCACACTCCAAATACGAGCATGGCGCCCATCAGGTAGTTGAAAGGATTGAGCCAGTACATCCAGTAGCGCCAGAAGGCCTGGATCTGGGCGTAGGGGACCAGGGTGCCGCAGAAGGAAACCAAGGTGCCGATAACCAGCGGATTGACCAGCGAGGCGAAGACGGCGTTGGGCGCGTACGCGGCAATGAACTGGCCGATGCCCGTGTACAGAAACTCGTAGAAGAGTATGACGAAGAACATACCGCCCGCGCTGTTGCTGTCATTGGGGAACCCCACCGTGTAGTACCAGCAGACGAAATACAGGACGGCGCAGATACACAGGTAGGGGATCTCAGACACGATCAAGGCGGTGACAAAGGCCTTCCAATCGTACATCTTGGCCTTTTTCTCCCGTGTCTCGAAGATGTCGCGGCGCTCGATGAACAAGGGCTGAAGTTGGTTGATGACGCCAGGGGCCACGAAGATGAAGTTGAAGATGGTGAATAGCTTGAGCTGAAGCTGGCCGACACCATCGCCGATCATCCAGAACGAAAATCCGTTGAATAGCGCCGACCCGACATGCAGCGCGAACTTGTTGTTTGTGTAGTCAACGTTGCGGTACAGGGCGAGGTTCAGCCGATGCGTGACAATCTTGATCTGCGACCACAGAGGCATGGCGAATTCGAACCCGTCGTCGTGGGTTCCGGGTGGTCTGGCCGCACCTTCACTGATGATGCTGTCCAGTTCTGCGGTCACCTTATGGTATTCCGCTGATTCCAGCCAGACTTGCGCCCAGTCCCGGCCCTGCGACAAATGGCCCGAAACGACGTCGATCATATGTTCGGCCGGATTGGCGTGTGGCGGGCACGCGGCACCGTACCGGCCAAAGTAGTCCTTGACGGTGGCGGCGTTGTCGCCGATGTCGCCAAAGTAGACGGTTTTACCGCCCTTGGCCAGCAGAAGGAGGGTGTCGAACTGCGCAAAGAGCTGGGCTGAAGGCTGATGGATGGTCACCAGTACGGCCTGTCCCACGTCGGCAAGCTTACGTAGGAACCGCACCGTGTTGTATGCAGACTGCCCATCTAGACCGGAGGTGGGTTCGTCCAGGAAGATCAGAATGCTAGGTTTAGCCACCAGCTCCACCCCGATGGTGACTCGTTTTCTCTGCTCAATAGAAAGGCCGATCCCGGGGAAACCGATCAAGGTGTTTTCGATGTCGTGGAGCTCCAACAGATCAATGATGGTGTCGACGTACCTCAGTTTCTCGGCCTGTGGCGTGTGGCGTGACTGCCGCAGAAGCGCCGAGAATTCCAAAGCTTCTCGAACCGTGGCGTAAGGCTCATGTACGTCGAGCTGTTCGCAGTATCCGGCGGATCGTTGGAATGAAACGGGCAGAGGTCTGCCGTCGACTAGGATCGAGCCGTGGATGGTTCCCTCGGTCTTGCGTTGAGCCAACACGTCCAGCAGGGTGGTCTTTCCGGCTCCGGAAGAGCCCATCAGTGCTCCCAGCATGCCTGGCCTAACCCAGCCCTGCACATTGTCGAGAAGCTTGCGATCTCCGTGGGGGGTCTTGACCGTGTAGGACAGGTTCTTCCATGTAAAGACAGAGGTGTTTTGGATCAAGGTCTCTGTACTCGCTTCGGCGGGCGTAGATTGGTCTCGGAGCGAAGAGTCGGAACTGACAACTTGTTTCTCCTCTGTTTGAGACTCTATATCTCCGAGAATGTGACCAGCTAGATGGACGTTCTCGCGTGGGATCAGTAGCTTGCTGCCCAGTTCTGAGTCGGACTTCCATCTGCTGGTGAAGATGACCGTGATGGCGACAAAGAGCGCCCACCAAGCCCATATAATTCCGAAATTGCGCCAAAGGTTCGAGTGACTATAGGAGAGTGAACGTAGATAGGCATCCCCGGTGACAAAGGTCTCTCCAGTGACGGCACCTCCCACACCAGCACAAGACTGGTATTGAGCATTGGCGTACCCAGGGCCGTTGGGAACAAGGTTCGTGCCGACACAAGGGATGATGGTATTGTGGAACTCATTTCCCATGATGGCTTCAAATGCATATGCCATTGGATCGATCCAATAGATCCAGACGAACCAGGGATGCATCTCGGGCTTTGCTATCATGTAGCCAATGTACATGATTGCCATCATGATCACGAACCCTGATACCTTGGAGGCGGCGTCAAATGTCCTGAAGGCGGCACCGATGGCTCGGAACAATGCAGTCATACACTGCAGTTGGATTGTCAGTCACATTTCAGAGAGAGAGAGAGAGAGAGAGAGAGAGAGAGAGAGAGAGAGAGAGAAAGAAAGATTTGTGCGGGGGCACGGGGACATACCATCGTAGCCGAAAACACCACAATCCAAAACGTGAAGAACTGTGACGCGGTAGCTCCCAGGCTGACCATCCAGTACAGCACCAGAGAGAATGTCGTAATCTGAACCAGAAGCTGGGGAATGTCCGCCGCAATCTGTGCCAGGCAGAAAGCTGCCGGGTGATAGAAGGCAAAGGACTTGTGCTTAGCCAGCACCGGCCGACCGAGGAACGACTCAGTGACTTCAGACATACTCAACAGAGAATTGTACAGCAGGCCAAAGAACAGTGCGCCGCCCTTGATGAAAAGACCAGCCGAGTTTTGGGGGGCATTGTAGAAGAGAGAGCCGGCAATGAGAGCCTGGACAATAGTAGAGACCTGCTTGATAAAGAAGGTGGCCTTGTCGCCCCATATTATCTGGTATTGGCGGACGACACACGCTGCAATCTGGGTGAGCAATCCAGCTGTCAAAGGACTCGTGTGCCGAAGCCGCTTGTCCTTTTCAAAGACGACCGACTCCTGGAATGCTCTAGTGTTTGCCTGAGCCTCAGGCGAACGGGGATACTCGTATTCGACGGCCATCTGCTGGTGGACAGGAGACTTCTCGTAGTGTTGAAGGAGCTCATCGGCGTTTCGCGGGAATCTGTTCTCATACCCTGGCCGGATTTGCCTTTCAGTGGGCACAGTGACGCCGGTGAGGAAGTCGGCGACGTTGGCCCCCTGAACGCACATGAAGCCCAGGTCCTCCATGAAGGGCCGGGCCTGCTTGATCGGACCATAGTAGACTTGTTTTCCCGTGTCCAGCACCAACGCTTTGTCGAAGAGGTCGTAGATGGCATTGCCTGCTTGGTACAAGGTGACAATCGAAGTCAGCCCAAGCACGTCGGTCATGACTCGAATGGCTTTGGTGTATTCAAGCGCGGTACTGGCGTCGAGGCCCCTGGTACTGTTGTCCCAGCAATAGACGGAGGCTCGAGTGGCCAGACATTCAATGATCGAGACACGTTTTCTCTCCCCGCCAGACACTCCTCGGACAAACTCATTGCCAACCTTGGTGTCGTCTGTGTGTGAGATGCCCATGGACTCCAACAAGAATTGCTTGAATTGCTGTTGATAGTCTTGTCGCGAACGCACGCTGTCGGGTAGATGAGAGGGCACCTTTAATCGCGTGGCGAAGTCGATGGTCTGGCCGACGGTCAAGCTAGGAAAGAAGAGCTCTTCCTCGGTATTCATGACAATCTGACCTCGATAGTGTTTTGCTTCATCGTGGCTCATGGACCCGTACCATATGTCTCCCTCGACGGACGAGTATCCCCCTCTTCGGTTGGCCAACAGCTTCAGCAATGTGGTACATCCAGAGCCAGGCCGTCCTAGCACAAGCAACATCTCCCCCGGCTTGACGCAGCCGTGTGACTCATGTAGAATCGTCTTGAGCGGAGGCTTCTGGCGACCTTCCTTGATCAATCGGGGCAGGTTGAATTGGGACAGGGTGTTGTCGTGGATGCTGGCCTCGGCGCTGACGACTTTCACTGTCAAGTTGCTCCAGGTTACACCTAGTTTTCTTTCTCGTGCAAAGGAGTCGAGATCCTGCTGATGCTGGGCTCGGACTTGCTCTGTCAACTTCCAGTCCTGACCTCGGGAAGGGGATGGCATTGTGGTTTGGGCCTGGGGCTGGGGCTGGCCCTCTGAGTTGTTTGAGCCCTTTTCTCCTGTAGCAACCTCATTAACGAGCATGGGAGCCTCTGAGGCAGCCATGATGGACGGAGCACGGAGCAGGAGGATGACGGATAGGGACAGCAAAACCAGAGTACTCGATTGCCCTGCAGGGGCCAGTTGCTCACCGTGGGTTATTATAGTCGCAGCATTTCCTTATCACGGACCAAGCCGGCCAACGTATGCGAAATGTCGGATGAGGACCATTTGGCCTGAGGACAATGTATTTCCATCTTGTCGAGTCCACTCGGGGTCGAGGCTGTCGAGGCCCGGATGCGAGACACCCAGTCAAATTCCACGGAGGAGTCCACAAGGCGATGTACTCGGCGTGAATACGTCCCGGTTCCAGCTAGGATGGAGGCCCGTGTCGTGGGAGGAGGCACGAGAGGTGGGCCTGTGCCTATTTCCATGTCTCTGCCACCGCGTCAGAGCGGGCTCATAAGGCTTCTTCAGACTTCTCAGGTCCACTGCTTGTCCCGACGTGCCGCTGAGTCAGCGGCACTTTGTTGCCTTATTCCCATAAAGTCCCGCGACCTTCCATCCAACCTGGAGGTGCTGTATAATCAATATGTGTACCGACTGAAGCTGGCAAATGCCAAGGGGGCGCCAATTCTTGCACCAATGTCAGGAACACCAGCATCACAGTCCCCTGATAGCCCCAGCACCGACAGTCGCGCCAGTTCCAGGATATCGCGTGCTTGTGATTCTTGTCACGGGAAAAAGGTGGGCTCCCATGCACCTAGCACCCTTGCTTCATTATTATTTCGAGTGGTCCGTTGGCACTGTCTGACCATGCGCAGATCAAATGTGACGGCGTGCGGCCTCGGTGCAACTGGTGTCAACACCATGGCCTCGATTGTAACTTCAACAGGATGCGACGTGGCCGAACGAGAGGCAATCGCGCCAGGTTCGTGGAGGGCGCCGCAGCGGCTGCATTGTTCTGCTAGTGGTGTAGCGTGACGCTGACGGCACCTGTTCGCATAGCAAGCTGGAGGAGAGCGATCTCGTGCGTCGAATGGAACGCATCGAGCGTCTGATCACTGAGAATGTCGAAAGACGCAATGGTTGGTTCGAATCTAGAGCTGAACGGCGAAGGCATTTTACTATTGAACATTGCTGACCTATAGGTACGTGTACGTATCAGGGCGACAGGAGGCTGCATCTCGAGGCTCAGGCGCAGGCGGAAGCGCAGGCGCAGGCTCTGACTCTCCTTTAGATGCCAAGGCCAAGTTGCCTCGCCGTCCTACTGCTGCTGCTGCTGCTGCTGCTGCTACTCGTACTGCTACTGCTACTCCCAGTGAGCCGGCCCTTGAACTCGACACAGACGCAGACTCGGCCAGTCTTGCCAATGTCGGACGCATCTACTGTGCCGGCTACAAGCTCGGCGACATCAACATGTTCCACGGGGTCCCCTTCCTTTCGCGGGAGGGCCAGAAGTGGATTGGACTCCGTGTAGATGACACTGACGGGCCTGCCAGTGGGAGTCCACATGAGGTACCAGGGCCGCTGTGGGAAAACCGCCTCCGGCCAGCCTGGCCCGACACCTCTCGATCACCCGCCGACGCGACCAGCTTGAACTTGAACGGAGGCTTCCAAGAGTTACCGCCCCGAGCACTGGTGCAGGAATACTTGGATGCTTATCTCCGTTCAGAGGTCTCTGACGTCTTCCCCCTGGCCGACCCGGTCTTGTTTCCGCAAATCCTGGACGAGGTGTACAGTGGCCGCAGCGATTTCTCCCATGCTGGTGCGGCAAAGGCATGTGTCCTGGCCTTTCTGCTTCTTGCAGCCACGCTGCTCAGCAATCCGGTCAACGAGCCATTGCCCCCTATCGATGTGTCGGGCTGTGGTACTGCGGCCGAGCATCTCTTCGTCGACGTCCTGAACGCCAGTGCCAGTACCGAAGCCGTGGGTGCTCTCATGATGCTAGCTGTCTATCAATTCACCTGTGGACACCTCCAGCCTGTTGACATCAGCTTATCAGTTGCATCGCGGTTGCTGTTCATGCTCGGCGCCCACCTCTATCCGGGCCAGGATCTGGATGTTCTCCCATCCGACTCCCAAAGCATTGAAACCAGGACCATCCTCCATCGGCGCGACTTGTTCTGGATTTGTTATGGTCTCGACAAGGACATAACCTTCCGCACAGGCCGGCCTCCCATCATGAACGACACGTCTTGCGATCTGACGTTCCCAAAGTGGTACTCGGCGCAAAGGTCCGTTAATGTCACCCGCAATTTCCGTCTCCCCGGCGACCTCCGACTGAGTCTGATCAAGTCGAAAGCCTACGAAAAGCTCTACTCGCCCCATTCGCTGCAGAAGCCCGATGCGGAAATCTTGGGCGACATCCGCGAGCTGGACGAACTGCTGGAGAATTGGAGGCTCTCCCAGCCCACCGGATTCAGGCCCAAGCTCTCTTTCTCCCTCCAAGCGAAGAGCTCAATCGACTGCTTAGACATGGACCCTCGTTCGTTTTTCACCCGAATGGACTACTTCCACTGCATGACCACCATCCACCAGGCAAGTAGTCGCTGCAAGGACTGGGCCCATAACCACCGAGTGCTTGAAGGTCTGAGTTCAAGCTTGAACCTTGCGCTGGAGTCGAGTCGCTCACTCCTCTCGTCTTTCCACGCTGCCGACTCGGTCTTGCTCAAGCTACCAAGCTTATTCTGGTGCGTGCATACTGGCTACCGCCGACCATTCTTGACTTGGGTGCTTCCGCTCTCAACGTGACTGGTGACTGCCCCCTCCTGCATCCTAACACTGGCTTACCTTCTGTGATACACGATTAGGATCGTCTTGTTTTATCCCTTGTCGGCTACTCTGGTCCTGTTCTGCAACATCCTGCTCAATCCCGCGAGCCCGGCAGCGTCGTCCGATACCATTCTCCTCCGAGACTGTCTAAATCACATTGGAGACAAAGTAGATCGTGTCAATGGCCTCTCTGATTCGCAGTTGCTTCACCTGCAGACCGTCCACAGCTTTACTGCCGAAGTGGTGCGATCCGCCGAAAGCCTCGTTTTGCAGAGCCAACACCCAACATCATGACAGAAAAGTATCGAATCACCATCACGAAAGAAAAACTACCGCGCGACCGGGCGTCCCGCAGCAAATTCGCTGCATACCGAACGCCTCACCTCGCTCGCCAATAACTATACCTATTGCTTGAGGCTCCCTATCGTCCGTGACGACGCAGATCTCCCATTACCATCCCCATCCCCATCGCCCATCCCCATCGCCCATCCATGCGACGGTCCATTCCGGGCAACATCCACAACCCTGGCTGACCGGACAATATATCTGTAACATTAATTATTCAGTAACTTCACTCCGTTGTAAAGGCATATAGCAGTGCAATGGCGATTCGGCAAGAGCGCTCTCTTACGCTAACTCTAGAGATCTATTTCGGCCGGTGTGGTTTGGCTCATTATCGTCCTGGACCGGGCTGGCTATTCAGGAATAATCCAAGTCTCCATACAGAGTACGCATACTGGGTACGCATACATACGCGCGGTCGTCACATGTGCATTTTGATCATGATTGCTATGTGCGGAATACTACCTATGTAGCTGGAGCAGAATCCATGATTGTGCTCAGGATCAACCTATGTAAGCCCTTGATCTGTACCTCCCGTGGAAGCATGCATGATGATGATGATGGTGGTGCCTATGGAAATTTGGGTCGAGATCGCACTTTCCTGGTTTTGTCTATTCCTCAATGCCCCTGCCCCTGCCCCTTTTTGCCTTGACTCTCACCACATGATCCTCGTCGACTGGCGCCATTTCCATGTCCATGGTGGGTTGTTCCTTAGCAGGAAACATGCATCTCGGCTGGCATGTTTTCTCTTGTCTTGTTCCAAATGAATCCCCAAGCTTCGCCCACATTCCCGAGGCTTGATCTAGAAAGCCTTCTGCCCTCCAATCTATCTTTACTCCCCCCAAACCTCTCCTACCAGCATCGCACTTCGACTCCGAGAGAAGCCTACTTCTTGGCCTGCTCCACCTCGATCAACCCCGTCTTTAGGGCCTCGATAGCCTTGTCGATTTCTCCTCTCGACTCGTCGGTCGCACTCACGCCCATGTGTCCAAAGCGGATGTATCTCGTCGCAATCTCCCGGTGTAGACCACCAGCAAAGATAACGCCTTTGGCCATCAGCTTGGGTAGGATCTCCGGTGGCGTCAGTCCCTCAGGCAAATAGATTGCCGTCATAGTATTCGCGGCGTTCGCCGGGTCTACAGGCAATTGCTTCAGACCCAACTTTGTCACCTCAGACTTGACATATTGGCTGATCTTGCGATGCTGGGCAAAGCGGGCCTCCAGTGGTTGCGAAAGAAGCTGCTTCAGTGCCGTGTGAAGAGCGTTGACCAACTGCGTAGGCGGAGTGGCGAAGTAGGATGGCTTCTTCGCTTCGTAGTTCTGCATGATCGGCAACCAGTTCTTGAAGCTGGCGTAGTAGCTACCTGGAGGAGTTTTTCGGGATTTGTACACGTTGAGGGCCTTTTCCGACACCATCACGATAGACAGTCCTGGAGGGCAGCCGATGGCCTTTTGGGATGCAGTCAGGGCCACGTCAACGGACCATTTGTCAAAGTAAAGCTCTTCTCCACCGACCGAGCACACGCCGTCCACCACAAGAAGCGTATCCGGGGAGACACGCCGGATCAGGTCGGACAGAGGCTGGATGTGAGACAAAACACCGGTCGAGGTGTCGACATGAGTCACGGTCACGGCCTTGTATTTCTTCTCTTTGAGAGCAGCCTCAATCTCCGGCAGCTGTGGTCGATCGCCAATAGGCGCTTTGAGCTGGAATGGCTTCGCTCCGTAGGTTGCAAGAGCCTCCGCAAAGGAGTCTGCGAAATATCCGCTATGTAGCACCAAGACGTCTTCACCAGGTTCGATCAGATTGGCCGCCACCAGATCCCAGCCGAGAGTGCCACTTCCCGCAAGGACGAATGGCTGCGAGGCCGGGTTGCTGGTCTGGAAGAGATCACGTAGGAGGGTGAGAGTTTCGCCAAAGGTGTTGACGAAAGGCTGTCCGACGTGCGACTGCGCAAAGTGGCCCATGGACTGGGAGACCTCATCGCTGATCTCGATCGGCCCGGGAATCAGGAGGGAAGGGTGAGGCGGCTGTGAAGACATTCTGGCAGACGCAGAGGTGGACAATTGTCTTTTCTGGATGTGAGCTGGTGAAGGTGAACGTTGGAGGGGCGTGTACGGGAGGTCGTCGGTCGACGCAGGCAACGAGTCTCGTTCGGCGGTGTAGGGAGTGTTGATTGGAGGGTAGGAAGATTGGTGATGCTCCTGCAGATGTCGCGAGATCAGACTCAGGCGAGTCGTGGCAGTGGCAGAGGAGGAATATGGGCGTGAGGGAGCCAGGGTGACGGTGATGGGGACGGTGACTGTGGGGGAGGGGGTTTTGGGTGATGGTGATTTTTGCGCGGTAGTGGCCGTGGCCGTGGCCGCCAGGTGAAAAGGCCGATGCAGGTGACGTGCGGGGCAGCAGCCGATCGAGGAGAAGGGCGAGGCGAGAGAGTTGAGACGCGATAAGGGCGAGGAAGAAACGGCGGAGAGAGCTTTATGGGAGATAGAGGCTGTCAGGGGCGCCATCGTCAGGGTAGTCGTCGTAGTAGTAATAGTAATAGTAATGGTAACAGTAATAATAGCCTTATTGTGCGCAAGGAATACGGTGTTGACTGCGCAATAAAGAAAACCCGGAGGTTCCACGCGTTGCCCCTGGTGGATCGTGGCTTTTTCAATGCCCAGGTACTTCTTCTGTATCTGTACCTCTGTAATAGGTAGTAATCCTGGGCCACCAGGGGTCTTGTAGCACTGTCTTGCTCTGGCCCTTTCGTTCCTTTTGCTCCCTGAAGTCCCAACCCCCAACCATGGGGATCCTCGTTAGAAATAGGTGTCCGAAGGGCTAGAAGTGGTGGCACCTCAGGGGTGAGAAAGGCGGGCTGGACAGTCGCCCGATCGCACAATCAACGAACACAATCTCACGCTGTGATTCCGCCCCGGCAAAAAGAACAAGCGAAGAACAAAAGAGATCACGTGCAATGCATTCATAGTTCATGGTGCTCACGTGAGCCGCTTAGCGCCCACGTGATCGGGCTGAGACCTCCTTTTCGCCCCCTGTAGCCCTGTAGGATCTGTAGTCAAACAGGACAGCAATAGTCTCAGCACGCCTCCTTTGCTTGCTCTCTTGCCCGCTTGTCTGGTCAACAGGCTCTCTACCATGGCTCTCATGGCTCTCAAAGCTCCTCGTTCGTCTCGCTCGTTGCCTGGCTTCCCATCTCCATCCATTCGTATTCATACGCGTCCTCGTGGCCATCCTCAGCCTCGTCCACGTCCATGCCTTCGCCGGCATCTTCCATCTCGCCCTCGAGGCCCCCAGTCTCTTCTCCTTCTTCTCCTTCTTCTTCTTCTTTGGCTTTCCCTTCTGCTGCCCGAGCCTCTGCCATCACCTCGTCAGGAAGATGCCGATTCAGGTATTTGAAGATCATCATCTGCACGTTTGGCGGCAGAAAGTTTGGCTCAACACGCCGGCCCGCGTCGACATCGAGGAGAGCCACGGTCGGGGCCACGCTCCGGATGATGCCGTGCAATTCTTCTAATCTGGCCACGGGCAGCCTACGCATGTAGGCGACGTTGAATTGCTGCATCCTCTTGGTCAACTGTTGCTGTGGGACGACTATATCGACGTCTCGGGCAGTGTTTCGGTCGTATATGATCTGAGAGACTGCTCGCAGCCCCTCATCTGACAGGTCTCCCTGTCTGACGGTCTCAGATTTGGAGAGTTTGGTCCAAAACGCCGGCTCTGTGCTCTGCAACATCCTCAAAATCTGGTCGGACTTGTCGCCGTCCTGGCTCAGGAAATGCATCATCGATAGAAACATTGCCTTGCGCTCGCCGAGTGGGAGGGGACTTTGAGGGCGAGAGGGCGAGGCGCGAGTCTCCTGGGCTCTCTTGTGTCCTTGAGTCTTCCTTCCCCTATACTTGGAGGCGTTGCGAGCCTTCTTCGCCTGCTGGTACTTGTGGGATCGAACACGGGCCATTTTGACGAACGGAGTGATGGAAAAGGGGTTGAGTGTGCTTGTTTTTCAAGGTGAGTGATGCGCGCGCGCGGTGTAGTGTGGATGGACAGAAGTGAGTACGAAAGACGACAAACTGGAGCAGCTTTATTGAGACACGGCGCAGGGCGCGGGCAGTTTCATTGTTCAGCCTCGTCGCCGTGACGATCATAAATCGCTCCCTGGCAGACCATTTCACCACTCAACAAAGCCCAACACGACTCTACTGTCATATCCAAGCATTCTGAGCGTTCAAACGAGTGATTATCTTCCATTTGGACTCGATTTGAAGAGCAGGTTGGCCATCAGAGGCCTTGAATCCCACTCCCCTCGCATCGTCTTCGACCACTACTCTTGCCCTACCACGCCAAATTGGCGGCCTGCTCCTTCTTTTCCAGAGCCGATCTGAAGTATTTCACCCCTCGGACACTCTACTTTACCTTCTAATAGCAGTATAGATCGCTGGCGACCATAACCTGCATACTACGACGACATACAGTACGGGTGCTTTCGTCTAGCTGTATATTCAGACTCTCAACACGACTCTCCTCCGCGGGACAGCCTAATTCTCCTCCAAAAACGCAAGAATCCTAGCCCAGATTGTCGTCTTCTAGTCAGTATGGACATGAGACCAGAGGATACCGAGCTGCACGAGTTCAACGAGCTTGGATTGCACAATGCTACCATTGCCAGCCATGATGCCACCGACTCTGCCAATGCTGTGGCACGTTACGCGGTGAGCATTAGATATCTACCCGTAGCTATTCTCCTGGAAAACAATAGACTGACTACTATAGTCTACACTGTCCCTCCGCCTGCACCAACTGCGTCGCCATCCTCTGGGCAATTTCCTCTACTGGATCATGTTGATCCTTGGTCTCCTCCTTCTGACTGCCACTGTCGCGGTCATGCTGTTTCTCACCGTCTCGATCTGGATCCACACCCTTGGATTGCTGAAAACACACGTCTCAAATGTTCCATTGCCAGTACAGACTTGAATGAGGCGAGGCGAAGGGAAGAAAGGGGCAGGAATAGGGGCAGGGTGGTGGTCATGCAGCCAATCAGGCGCCGAGGTGTGTGTTGATAAGAAAAGCAGTGAATACAAGTGCATAGTATGCCCTGTCGCCCGCCATGACATTTCCCTTGTTTCCATATGCAATTCTACTGCGTGTTTTTTCGTCCATCTCAGTCACTGACGGCCGCCCCGTGCCTACGAAATTGTTTCAGTGGTATGATGTGCTCCCCGTGCCTACGAAATTGTTTCAGTAGTATGGTGTGCTTCTAACGACCAATTCGACCACTATCAATATTATATCAACAGCGTGCTCCTGACTATAAACCTACTAACTCTAGTCCTATACTAATAGCGTCCTTCTCTACCTTGTCAAGGTCTTTTCTACTTATTAGAATAGCGTCCTCCTATACTATATCACCTCTCTCTTCTTCCTATAGGAACAGTGCCCTTCTAAACTATATTATCTTTCTCTCTTCTATATACTAACAGCGTCCTTCTACGCTAGATAGTACTTTATTCTCTCTGTTGAAAGCAGTGTCCTTCTGAATAGTAAGATAGTTAGTACCTATCATTTATACTTGACGTGATCCCTGTTGATAATATTCTAGATATCTCTGTTCTTAGGCATACCCTGGGTGTCTTCTACAACAACATCAGGGTACTAGGTTGGACGTGAATCATGATAGTACTAGACCATACTAAACTAAACCGATGTTGAACTGCTATCATCATCTTATCAGATGTGGAATTCAATCATTCCTGAAAATCGCATCCAGCAAGTACGGTGCAGCCGCGTCTCGCCCTGGACTCTCCAACATTCTGTAGATCCTATTGCCCGACCTGTTGCCCAGCCAGTTGCCCCTGTCATGAGGAACCTCGCCGTCACTGTTCCTCCGTTTCCGCGGTCGCTTGTCGCCCACAGTCATGCCTCTCGTCCACTGGCCGGCAGTCTCGACTCTAATGTCTTCGGGACTGCGAGCACTGGGTTTCCATCGCTGATCATCGCGCGTCAGGACGTACCACACACAGAGAGGGTCGTGAAGCGCTAGTGCGGCGCCTTCGCCTTCGTGGCCAATGTGCAGACGTTCCATCTTGTCGAACATGGGGTCCATGAACGCCGTCGCCCACTGAGCCAACGGACTTCCTTGTTTGGCTAGCTCGGAGGCGTATGCACTGAACGCACCGCGGCTGAGTATGTGGAATTCGGTGATGTCGAGCGACATGAGGGTGAGTTTGAGCTGTTTGGACAACCGGGGCGGGTAGGGTGGCAGGTGGAAAGACCGCTCGCCCTCAGTCGGCACGGGCATCGTCGAGGATGGGATGGGCGATGTTAATGCATACACCGTGGCTGCGGCGTACGGGTCGGCGTAGACGTTGAACTCGGCCACGGGCGTCACATTGCCAATTCCATCAACCGTGCCGCCCATCGTAACCACCTCCTTACACCGAAGAAAGGTCTCGGGGTCTTCGGTCGCTGCGAGAGCAAAGTTCGTTAGGGGCCCGATCGAAATCAGAGTGATGGTGTCTGGCTCATTCTCCCTCAGTAGACGAAGGATTTCCTTGTGAGCCGGGATCAATGAGGGGATGAAAGTTTTGGCCGGCTCCTCCAGGTCTACTTCTTCCTTCGCGGTCTCAGTGAGGAACGAGTCTGGAGGAGGTTCCTCGAACAATCTCTTCCAGCTCTCCTCGGGCGAGAAATGAGGGTGAGTTGTGTGCGTGCCTGCCAACCCGTCGACACCATGGAAGTAATCGGCACTTTCGATCCTATCCTGCAGCGGCTCCTCTGCCCCAATTGCGACGATGGGTTTGAACTTGGTGATTCCTTCGAACCCAACCGGGTTGCCGTTTTTCTCACGCCATTTGAGCTCCTTCTCTAGGATGTGGAAGATGGCTACGACGTTCCGTAGACAGTTTCGTACGTCGACGTTACCGAATGTCAGCGAGACAAGCAGGACTTCCAAATCCTCTGCCTTGGCCGCAAATGCCAGTAACATGGCGAGAACATCATCCACGCCAGGATCAGTGTCGATGATGATGCGATTCTTGGGAGCCATGATGATTAGCGAAGGATATTCAGCTGGAATAGTAGAGAAATCGATGTCAGAGGACGGATGCCGGCCTTTCGAGGGAGGTCAGTGACACAGTGGTCAGTTCGCCCGCACCACTGGCCGAGATTCGACCAAAGTAGTCCACTAGCAGTTGTGAAATGCAAGCCAGGATTCCCAAGGAAGTGAGCAAAGTAGAAGGTCCTGCCGGCAAATATCCAACGATGTAAGAACTGGGTGTAGATACGAGATGTTGGTAGAGGTGGAGGGTCCTCAATGCTACATACTACCTACTAGTAGTCAAGTGGCGGTCCCCGACGGCGGGTTGGTGACTCTCCCGACTTGGCAACCAAACTGCGCTGCGCTCCCGCTTCTCACCACTACTGGGTACACCTACGATCTACTAATTACCTGCACGCCGCAGGCTCACTATCTTGCTCCATTTAGTAACCGATAAGTTAAATGACTACCAGTGGTATTGTGTTTGGCTCATGCGGACTTTTTGCTATCCTTCAACACCTCCTTCTCGTTCCTACGCAAAAGTTGAATTATTTACCGAGGTGGCGCTGCAGATGGGCTCAACTGCCAGTGCTTTGGTGAACGCTCAGAGATGCAGACCACGCCATTTCATTGCAAGTCATTCCAGACTCCCGTGGCTAGCGACCGCCCGTGCAAATTGCTTCCGGATCTCGCAAACCGGTATGCTCGTCTCGCATAGTCTCATGCTCGTCGTTATATGGTCGGTGGTTCAAGTGTCCATTCACCATCGGTGCGATGGCAAACCTGGGTGTCTAGTAGACTTTTTTCTTCTCATCCACACTTAATTGACCGGGTCCCATGTTTACCAACAGCAGAAGGCCACCCATAATAGAGAGGATCTGAAAGAAGTCGTACTTGGCAAAATCCTTGTGCGGGTGGCTGTTGTGGAGCTGTGGTCACAAAGGTCAGAATATTTTGCAGGAAGGGAATAAGCACTCTTTTGACTCACCGCCCAGAAATTGTTGACGAGCACGTTGAACACGCTGAGCAGAAGGACCAAAATGATGGCACTGAGCTTGGCCTTGAACCCGACCACCACCATCACGCAAGCCACAAATCCAATCAGACTGACCAGGACTCGCCAGATACTCCATTCACCTGCAAAGATGAAGCCGATGAAGAGGAAGATGAGAAGGACTCTGCCTCCAAGTTGGATGTACATCTTCTTGTCCTTCTCGTCAATTGTAGGTAGCCCAGCAAACACCCTGCTCTTCTTGACAAAGCTGTCCCCGAGGACCATCAGCAGCCCGCCAATAACCGACAAGTTTCGCAGGAAGAATGTGATATCGAAGATAAGCCCGTATCCAAGAGCTTGTACGACCACGACCGAAAGAAGCCCGCCAACTGCGTATTCTCCGTAGCGGCGTATGATGACCAGCGTGGAGCAGACCGACATGGTGACGATGTTGTAAATCAAGAACAAGTGTGTAATACCCCAAGGAACTATTCTAGCTGTCAGCCTCAGCCTATACTAGCTTGATGAAGCTCACTCACTGTGTCTGAAATCCCGCAAATAGGTAAGCTGATCATTCCACTGAGTAATTATTCTTATAGCATCTTCGATGAAGGTGACCACGATGAGAAATCGTCCGATAGCAGGGAGGTATCTGTACACATCACTGGTCAGGAAAGGGATTGTAAGACCACGAAACGATGAGACGCTCACGGCTTTAGGGGCTCGCCGATGGTGGTCAACCAGTCTTCGATCTTGCTTGTTTGTTCTCTGATCTGATCGAGAGGGCTTGGATCGCTAGTGGCTTCACTGCTGCGCTGAGAACTAAACTGATTGTTCATCCCCAGGTTATACCCGGCAGTTCCTCGTATTTGCGCCATTGACGACGCGGCTTGCTTTGCTTTGCGGGTGATAGTCGGTAGGGAATGAGGTGGCGGTCGGCGAAAGGAGGGAGAGTCCGAGCAAACACGGTTCGGGCGTGATAGTCTGCTGGTAACAAAGGAGAGCACGAGAAGAAATCAGAATAAATAGAAGGAGAAAGTCGAGAAATTGCGTGGGGCAGGATGGTGGTCGGGTCGAAGTTGAATGCTGTCAAGTTTCCGGAGGTCTGAGATTGTGATGATCGGGAATTGCTAGTGAGTAGTGTGACCGCTGCAAACGATAATATAGGAATACTTTGTTGGCGACCTCTGGCCAGTAGCAGCAGAGTATTACACAGGTGAGCCGTCAGCAGTGGTAGTGCTATGGTGGTGGTGGGCAGCACAGTTGGAGGATCTGTAGGATCTGGAGTACAGAGTACCTGCGCTTATTTTTGTTTGATAATTAACACGCTGGCCCGAAGGTAAATATCAGGTACCTCTCTCTACCGACAATAATTGCTCCGCACTCCGTACTGTAGCCGTGCTGAGAACACAAGCCACTACAGCAAAGGTCCTCCTCCTGGAATCCTCCAGCCAATGAAGTTCGCAGTCCAAGTCGTTAGAGACCAAAGGACAGCCAGCCCCTGACAGCTGGTTCTGGCCGCCTTCGTGGAGCTGACTCCGCCATCATGCGGCCACCTGTTCAGTGCAGGGCAGCTGTGGATTGTACAGTACCTACCAAAATACTACGTAGAAAAGCCATCCACTGGAAGACCGAGTTGTACGGATTTTCAGGTACCAATAAGCTACCTAAGGTACTTTAGGGACCTCGTTGAATGAGTAGAACCATTTTTCCCATCTCTCAAATAGTTTTCTCCTATCCTCTTTGTAGGCCATGCTAATCTCCCTTTGCCTCCGGAAGCGTCGAGTTTCTTACTCTGAACTCTGTGGATAACCATGTGCCTAAAGTAAACAATGCCGCAAATGAATAGTTGTAGAATCAAAGTGCAGACCAGCACTGTGACGTAGAGATGCTGCTCGCAGAATACAGATTGGTGCAGTCTGACCCCCCGGCAGGATATGCATCCAAGTTACGCCGCCCGTCCCTTTCCGATGGTGTTATCAAGCCTCCCATTCCGCATCCTTGAATGATGGATCCAGCACCGGTTCGATGGACTGGAATCGGTTGGCCTTCTCGATCCTCGGCTTCGCTCCGTTCTCTTTGCTGCTAACGGGGACTGACTTGCTAAGTGTTGCCGTTGATGGTCGCACAAAGGAAGAGCTGGCCTCGCTGCTAGTGTCGTTGTCCTTCTTCGCCTTCTTCTTCCCTTTCTTTGAAGTGACCGACTCCCACTTTTCTTCTTTCGCAAGCTCGGTCGCCCACTTGTCCTGCTCCTCCTCGTTAACCTCGTCAGCCCAGCTTGGCTGGGCCTGTAACACAGGTCTCGACAATCTTTCTCGGTTGGAAACAGCTAAAGCATCGGTTTCCTTTTTGCCGACCTCTTGTCGAATCGCATTGGTATTGGCTGTTTCAGTCGCCGAATTGGTGATATCTGAGAGCGGCTCGGTGATGACTGCGCCATTTGGTACTTTGGATTTAACGGACGATGTCGCCCCAGCATCGAAAGTATCCAGAAGCGGTGCAACCTCTGCGTTGGGTGGCTCCTGGACGGTCTTCTGTGGACTTCGATTGGGAGCCTGCCATGCGTTTTGCTTCGCGGTAAATGAATTCGCTTTGTTTTGATTAGAGGTGCCTTCTGCCAGTCTCGCCGTTCGGAGTTGTTGCTGTTTCTTAGCCTCATGTATACGGTCGGCTTCCTCTCTCAGTGCCTTCTGTTCGGCCGCTTTGGCCTGTCGCTGTCTCTGTTTCTTCGACAACACTGGCTCGAATGCCTTGGAGACCGGCTTGGGGCCGCTTTTGGGGCCGCTTTCCTTGACGTCTGTTAACCTGAGAGTTGTCGGTTTGGCAGCTGGTGCCTCTAGCATGTCTGACACGTCTCCTGCACGTGAAGTAGGAGCGGTCGAGATGGGGCCGATCGAGGGTGACCCAACGGGTGAAAGATCATCATCCGCGTCCCTGCCGGTAGTGGAGGAATTCTCGGTCGAGAGACCAGAGTGCCTCAAGTTGGCTTGTTTCCCTTGCGCCACCTGCTTAGCAGCATGTCGTCCTTTCTTGTTTGAGGTCTGCGACTGAGGGGTCTCCAGCTTCGTGCCCGCCTGGGCTTTGGCCAGTTGCTGGGCAAACTCCGCATTACTCATGCTGCCATCCTCATCTCGCGGTAGGCTAACCTGGTGTCCCGCTGTGGTTGCAATAGCCACTCTGTCATCAACTGGCGCAGATACTAGTTTCCTCCTCTTAGTTGCTTTGCCCTCTGTAGTACTCGTTGAAGCACCGCTGTTCGTAGTATCAGGCCGGCTGGTATGTACCCGCTTGGTTTTCAGGCGCTTGGCAGTTGGTTTCTGTGCCTGATCTTTTGTCTCTGGTCTAGTGAGAGCTTGTCCCGTGATTTTGTTGAACAGCTCCGGATTATAGTATCTTGTAAGGGCCGCAGTTAGCGCAAGAAGCGCTACCCAGGAAGCGGTAGTCGACCACATCTTGGATGATGCCAGGTTGTCGGTGCAATAGCGATTGTGGTATAGTTGGGGACAGGATGGTCAGACTGATGTACACCCAATCAACAAAGGTATTTTCTCTCAAGAGGTAACAACGAGTCCGATTTAAGGCCAAGAGAGGTGCAAGGAGCGGCCAAGCAAGGGATGTAAGCTAAGCGGTTTGATATGGGGATGCGCTTGTCTGTGGCGAGATAGCTGACCACGATTTTGATGCCGACCTTGATGCCGGGTGGAAGAGAGGTTGAAAAAGTCGGTGAACCGTCAGTGTTTGCAAGGGGAGGTAGGTGGTTGAGGACCTGATCGAAATGTCTCAGGAGTATGGATGGTTCGATGATAGTATGCGGCGGGATTTGGAACGAGACTCGGGGGACGCAAAGGCAGAACACCGCGGTGGAGACGCAGTTGACCCACGACCAGTCCTGGACTGGATGAGGGATCGCTACGATGCGTTAGAAGGAGGAGCATGAATTGTGCGTCGTCATCATGTTTACCAGATGCTAGGTATTCTGTTGTGGGTTGACTTGTTACGGCAACGACATGAAGTTAAGTCGCGTTGGTGAAGGTCTGTATGTTGGCGGCGGGGAAAGGACAAAAGATAGGTCTGCTTCGTATGAGAACTAGGGAGATAGCTCGATGGCTTGGACAACAAGGAAGAGGTGTCAGAGGGAAAGAGAAAATGTTACAGGTACATGTATGCAACCGGGCAAATCATGAGAGTGGAAGCCAAGGGAGACCGCAGTCAGTTAGTGAAGCTGAAGCTGCGCCTTTCTTGTATGGTGATAGCCGTTGCGTGACCTCGCCTATGAAACATAAATGGAACTGCGGCTACGCCCCCCTCAATAAGAATTTAATATTATTAAATACTAGGCGACTGCCACCATAATTTAGTTCTGTCTTTCATCAAAGTGACTGTTGAACCGGTTGATCCATCGACATCGACCCTCCGTCTCCGCAGCGCCCCAACGCCTCTCGCTTTCCTCCTCCGTTTCTCACCCAATCATTACGCCATGCCACCATGGCCCTGTTGAAGCTGGCCGCCTCCCATCTCGGGGAGCATACGCCTAACGCCTAACGCCGCGCTAACCCTGGTATCTGCATGTACCCCTGTCTGCCACGCCTCTCAAAGAGTCACATCACACCCAAACCATGCAACCCGGGGTTTGCTTTTGCTGGAGACGTTAGGGTACCGTCCCTGTGAATGGACAAAGGCTGGCGGCTAGTATAGCAGCCACCCCGAGGCTACTTGGGCTTCACACATCCGTATATAGATGTAAAATGAAAGCAAGAGATCGGAACCAGGTTATATTTATATGGCTCATTCACATGCTTAGACCGCATAAAAAACACGCTTATCATTGTACAACAGTCATTGCTTTCTCCCGTGAACATTGATCAGACACCAATCCGTACTCCATGTGTTAGCCCAAAAACTCCTCGCTGCAAGGCTATCAACTTCAAGTCCTTATACACTCTACAACAGACGTGTAAATCGCCGATTTTGGCATAAACAAGTATCTGAGTAGCAATCAATCCGGCAAACTTTCATCAAGACAGCGGGCGATCGGACGGAATAACATAGTGAATTTGCCATGAATCTCTCCTTTTGAGGGCAATCGAATCTTCTGTGAGGGATGATGCCGAAGCTAGTGAGGGGGTTTTGATGATAGGCTCGGAAAGATGCTTCGTTCGTTTCGGGGTGGGTGGTTCAATGAGCTCGTCGGTTCGGGAAGGAGTAACATCCTCATACTCCATGTCGCTAACATCTCCTTCTTCGTTATCCTTGTCGTCACCGCCGGCACCGCCGTAATTGACATCTTCGGTGGAGAGCGTCATGGCCAATACTGGCTCAGGGGCTGGGTATCTCTTTGGACTTCCAATAACAGCCAATGGCCACCGCATCTCTGTCTCTGCGCCCGGTCGCTTCTTTCCAGCCATTACAGCAGCACTCGGGGGAGGAAGCATCATCCATGCAGCTTCGTCTCTGGTGGGGGGCAACTGCGAGACAACCGGGGGATGTAGGTCATTGACTTCGGGATGTCTTGATCTGCGGTAATCATAACGGTCGCTTTCGTTTGTTGGTGCCCGTTTTCGTCGTTGTGTAGAGAGATCTCCATCTTGTTGTTGTTGTTCTTCCGTACCTTCTTGGTGCGTTCCGGAAGTAGCTCGATTCCACATCCGCGTCATTCGCTCGCTGAACCCTCCAAGAATCTCGTCCTCTCTATCATATCTTTTCCAATTCCATTTCTCAGGATGCAGAGTTGTTCGTAGAGAGTCTTTGATATTCTCCACAGCATTCGACAGCCTCCGCTCGGTTGAGGTTGGCCTCGATACAGACTTTGGTTTCGGAGCACCAGCAGCATGATCTTCAGATGACATGCTTTCAGTCTCGCTTGAAGATGATCTCATTGAAGTTTCCGTTGACGGTCTAGATGGCTGCAACGAAGATGCGACTGGGTGAGTTGTCTCTTGCACTTCAGGCGAGTTGGACGCCGCATCCAGGCCCTCCGCTGGTCTAGACACATTCTTCTGCAGTCTTTCCAACAGTTTATCTCCTTTCCAACCTTTTGGTGGTCCCGGACCAAGCATCAACTCCTCCGCCCATGTCTCGTTCGTCTGGAATGGTCCCGGCTGTCTGACAGCGCCTGGTTGAGTCGTAACAACATCTTGTTGCTGTGCATTGTGTGCTTTGGCTTCTTTCCTCCTCCTGCGCTTGTGCTGAAACTCGAGACATGGCGTGAAGGAGATATAATAGAATATGGCGGACTGTACACCGCGCAGGAACCAATGCCCTGGCTCTGCTATGAAGGTAGTTTGGGCCATGTGTCGCTCGGGGCGAGGCAGCTCTGGAAGGTCCTGATAGAGGATGGATTCGTCGAACGAAGTCACGGTTCGGTCTTCTTTGGTATTCTCAGGCTAGGAGGAAAGGAAATTCTCCCCTGATTCTGGCACATTGGTGTTCGTTGTTGCCCCATGGTATCGGTGCGAGAGGGCGACAAGCACCTAAGCAGCACCGGAGAGAGTACTGCAGATGTCACCCAGGGTCCGGAAACACTAAATGCAGAGGTGGGATTCAAGATAGAAGGCTAGAAGCAGCATTACAGAATGGCGGCCCGTACGCCACATTCATGGATCTAAGGTCGGCATTGTCAGTGTGGCTGACTGCGGATCACCTTATGACAGAGTTCGAAACGCGAGGGTCACGTGAGAAGTAGCAAGGACAGTACACTTGACACTGGTGGTTGGCGGACATGGCCAGCATGGAAATGGGTATTAACCATAGGACGTAGGTCACAAGGCTCATAATTTCCAGCAGTCAAAGACTACTTTTATTTGACGCCGGAATAGAATCTAATAGATTCATCTGATGAATGGCAACAACCTATACAATTCGTTGCATCTGACGCAAAGATGATGTGCCGTTGTTTTACGGTCGAGCATTTGATCCACACACGCAAGCAGTTCACACCTCGAGTCTCATCTATCTCTCTTCAAAAAACAACGACCTTGTGCTTCAGTGTAATCATCCACAGGAGACGCAAGGTATTCATACAGAGAGGACTCCTTGTTCTATGCAGTTGCGCTCCAGATGAACGCCCTGCCCTGGTCCTTCATCCGATCCAACTTCTGTCAACCACTTCGGCCACTGAACAGCAGAACAAGGTAACTCCAAATGAAATGAAATGAAATCGAATAGGACTCCGTGGCTATGCAAATCCAAGACCATTGCTATCCTTTGTCCAACCACCCCTGGTCAAAGGCAATCCAGTCATGCTTTCTCAGCCGAACTTCTGAAATTCCGAGTCGAAGTCGGACCCAGCACCTGCTGCGTCTCCCCAGACATCATGTTCCTCCGTCAATGTTGCCAATCCTGGGTGGTATGCATCTGGTTGATAGCCAGCCTCGAACTGCTGAGATAATGGCTCATATGAGATTGTTCTTGGGATCTCCTGAGGTGGCTTCAAGTCGTCGCCATAATAGACCAGCTGATAGGTAGGGTCCATCTGACTCAGCCGGGGATCAAGTACGTTATCATAACGTTGGACCGGGTACTCCATCTGTTGTGGTGCAGGATACGATGTCAACAGCTCATGGTGTCCAGCATTCGGCATTCCTAAAAGGCCCACAGTGGCTTGATATGGAGGGAAAGGATCTTCCATCTTCTCATACCGGATCTCGCTGACCTGCTCCCCGTATGGTCCAATAGCTATTGACGGCTGATAGTACTCGCCCATGACGCCAGTGGGTCCCATAACCAGCGGCGGCGGGCCGTATGGGTTGCTGATCTCGTATCCGGAAAGATTCAGGGCCGGCATCTGGTGATGATACCGGACGGGTCTGTCCTCAAATGGAGTAGACGAGGCGCTTCTGCTCTCAAATCGTCGAGCGCTGCGACTTCGTTTGGAGCTCTTGGTCGAGCCTTCCCAGTTCGGATCGCTGTCACTGGCATCGTCGTCTGGTCTGGGCCGCTTTGCGGTTTTGTTGGGTGCAAACTTATAATTCGGGTGAGCAGCTTGATGGTTGTCACGCTCGATGTGTGCATATCGCTCGTACAAATCCCGGACCTCTTTGGGCTCCAATGGCCAACTTGCCCCCGTCACCTGCGAGACAACCTGATGGTTGTTCTCTTTGCAGAATTGCTTCACTCGATCAGCGTACGCTGCTCGGTATAGCATGAACGAGTTCATTGGTCGGGAGATGTATCCTTTCTTTCTTTCCACCTCTGCCATCCGATCTTCCACCGGACGATGTACCCATGCGGCCATGTCTTTCACCGGTGTCGTATAGTCTTTCGTCAAGATGCTGAGTGGCTGGTGGATGACGGGCGCTCCCTTTCTCGCCGGTTTTTTCTTCAGGTTCCTCCTCGTTCGGGGCGCAGGCGAGGGAGAGGTGTGGGTTGACTCGGTGTTTCCAGGGCTGGAAGGTGTCGGTGTCCCCCGGACTCTTCCGCTGCGAGTCTGCCCTCCGATTCCAACGATGCCCTGAGGGGGAGTGTGGGAGGGATGGGAGGTGATCTTTCCCTAGATGGTCAGAACGGTCAGGAGTCATATGGGGCCGTTTTCACTTACATGCTGTGGTGTGTAGTAGACTGGAGTTGGATCGGGATAAACCGATGGTTCACAATACGACTTCTACAGCACGGTAAGTTTCTGATTTGCACCTTCAAGTTGGAAATACTCACGAATGCTGGCTCTGGAGCCATGTCGGCTCTGATTGACCTTGCCGGCATGGGTGGTGTACAAGGCTCTGTCTTCACGGCACCTAATTGACTGGATCGATTGTCGTCGCCTTTGCTGTAATGGCTATCGACTGAGTGAGGAGGTGAGGGAGGTCTGCCAGCTGTGGTGCTTTGAGCCATTGGTGTGTTGCCAAAGTGCTGTCTGGGAATCCAATGAAGGTAAACAAGGTAAACAAGGTGCAACGATGGCCAAAGCAGATCTCTTTTTTGCCTTTCAACAACTCTTGAAGGGGATCAGCTGAACAGTGAGGAAGGCTGTGAGCTTTATACTGGGTCGGCGTGAGTAAGGCAGCCTTGTGGTTTGTGAATGCGCAGCTCCTGCTGACTGTCTTGGACGTGTCACTCTCTTGTTCTTGTCTGAGCCAGAGTTCCGGATGTACCTCCAGCTAGCCGAACCCCGCGAAGGCGATTCTTAGGATTGTTGGAGGTTGCTATCTGCTGTCTTCCGCAATTGCAGAATTCTGGACAATGCAGCAAAGCTGGTGCGGCTTTGATGTCCAGGACAATTGATGAAAGATTCTCGTTGTTCTTGAACGGACTATGTGGTGGGTGGCGGTCCAGGGCCCTGTCCTTCTGGGATTGTTGCAGGAACCCGATGCAAGCTGTGCAAGCTTTGCAAGGAGACAAGACTCTTGATGGCCAAGGGAATGGGTGCCGGTGCCGGTCCACTGCAGACAGCCTGGTGTATGATTCTTGCGGTGAGTGGGAATTGCCTCCTCAGTCTGCGACTGATGACGCTAGGTTGGTGGGCTTTGTCTCAATTACCCGCAAGATGGAGGAAAGCAATCTCAATTCAGAGACCCAGGCTGATTGACGACCTTTGTTGATGCAAGAAGAACATGAAGTGAAAGACCAGAACAAGAGAACATATCAATCAGCAGCAAGAGTCTCGGCCTTGTTGCGTTCGCTGCAATGATGGACGCATCAAGTTGGAGTTGCCGCATCCGGAAACATGGTCAATGTCCGGATTTCTCTGGCCGCACCTCTTTTGTTTTCAGGCCGATGAAAGCAAATGGCTCTTGGAGAGAATGGCTAGCACTAGACACAGTATCATCCAAGCCATTGAATGACAGAGCACGAAGGAGAAGGATCCGAGGGAGTAATCTGCCGTGCTGGCCCTGCTCTGCTGGCGGCCCTGGGATGGATGGAGGGACACCTGCGATCCTCTCCCTCTCCCTCTCGCCCGGGACGCTCCATACAGTTGGACCATGCTATCAACATCCATGTCCAAGACGATGGATTGAGTTCAAAGGAAATCGGTGAGAAGGAGAGTATTCTGCTGGGTGATGTATTGCCAGGACCCAGGACGCGTGACCCCTGGACTGGATTCCGCCCGGTGAGTGTTCCTGTTCCTCCAGGGACGAACGGTTTCCTCCCGACGTCTTTGTGGAAGCTCGGGCCACCAGTCACATTCCTGACACAGTTAGGAATCCGTTTTCAGTTTTTACTTACCCCGGCTGTCAGTCAGTCCAAGTCTGGTCTTTACTACCACCTACTACCTCACGCTGGAGCCGCGAGCAGTGAATCTGGCATCTGGCATCTGGCCTGGGTCTTGATCCTGACCGACCGGTGATTCTGCCGGGTCCGGGTCCGGGTCCAGTCTGATTGGCTAGCAGGGGGTTTCTGTACAACGAACCCTCATATGATGGCGGCTAAGCACATGATCGCCATGGAACTGGCTGCCGCATTCCATATTTTCCGATACGCTCAGCGGCAAGCCAACTGCGTCGACAGTACGAGTATAGAGAGCATGATTCTGCCCTGGTGGTGCCCAGCTGCATCACGGTCCGACCCAAACCCAAAGGACTGATATGTCCGATTATTGCAGTACGGTTTACTTCTGGTCGTGAGTTATGCCTTTCCTTCCATGATGCTTTTAGGATTGAGCAGTACTCGTACTGGCAGGGAGTCTTCCAGCATGGTCTCAACGGGCCCGTGTCGTTTTGTTGACCGTAGCCGGCCCGCTCCCGCATCGCATCGCATTCCATTCCATTGCCTCAGCCTCTACGGAACCGCTTCCAGATCCACCGACGACTTCGACTGACCCTTTCACTTTTCACCGTCTGCCCAAGCACTGTACCCCAGGGTGTTAGCTGCAGGCAGATGCGATGCTCTAGGGTCTCAGCTTCTCTTGGTCGACCAATCCACGGCCGGTGCTTTCCACAAATACTCTACAAATCGTGCATACAGATGTAGGTACTCTGACCCTCTGGTTTGACAGGCTCTTTTAACCTCCGACCGCCTCAACCGGACCCGCTCACCTCCGATATCGAGCTCCTGGCGTGCAGTGCCAATGCCAGTGCCAGTGTTACATCCGGTCTGCCAGGGCTACATTGCGGATACTGGATACTCGTACCTCAACCCTCCCTCCTCCATCCAATCTGTCCAGGCTCGGATATCTAATGGATGAATGCGCGTATCTTATGTGCCCCAGCCAGTATGAGCATACTATTCCGTCCTCTGACCTGCAAGCCTCGAATCGTGAATTCCAAACCGCACCAGAGGTGGAGGTGGAATCCTCCCATCGCGTCTGCCGCGGCGAGTGCTCGCTGCAGATCAATTCTTCTTCAAGCCAGTTACTTGAACAGGATGGAACATGGTTATGTACTAGGTACTATAGCCTGCAATGCAAGCAAGCAAGGCCCCCCAACGCTCCTCTCACCTGGCAATCTCCAGGACCGATGGTTGTATCAGTCAGGTTACTCGCACTGCGAACGTGCTGGTGCTGTATACAGATTCTGGGCTCCTTCAGACACATGCCCGTTAATCTCCGAGAGGTGGCTGCAGTGCTGTAAGTCGGCGAGGCGAGTCTTTGCTGCGTTTGAGAAGCCAGCTGTCTCGACAGCCTCTTTGGAATGTGCAAATCGGCACGGCAGGATGTTTACTCTATGATGTTGAGCCACGCCACACACACACACACACACACACACACACACACACACACACACACACACAGAGAGAGAGAGAGAGAGAGAGAAAGAGATAGAGAGAGAGACGACCACAATACCATATGTACCTTAGTGAGTAGCATAGCATGTGACCCTCGCCAAGGTGTCATCTCTGCTTCTGCTTTTCTGTTCCACAATCCACCTTTTCTAGAGGTTGCCAGTTCCAGTTCCCGTTCCCCCTTGCTTCGCCGTTATAGTGTGTGCTTGTGAGCTTAGGCTTCTACCAAGAGGTGGTCCTTATTCTTGTCCCTTCAAGCCTTACTAAGGCCCACGCGTGCATGGTCTCGAGTGGAAGCTCTGTCGAGGGACCGTTTTATGTACGGATACAGGTACATACAAACAACCCCTAACCCTGCGTCTGCGATGTGTACGGATACATGTACCTAAGGTAGCTAGACAAGTCAGGGTTTCTAAAGCATATATTCGTACGTATGTATGTGCATTAATCCAATCGGCCCCTTGGCCTTCCCTGCCCTGCCCTGCCCTGCTATGCGTGCATATGCTGGGAAAAGAAGTGAGTGAGTGAGTGGCCCCGGCCCTGTGGGTATGCAAGCATAAGTTACAGTTGGTAGGTAGGCAGGAAGGTACATAGGTAACTGAATTGATTGGCGACTCATCTCCGTGGCGGGCGTTGGTTGGACACTCACTACAATACGGTGGCCAGGCCAGTATCAATCAACATGTAACTCATGAGCCTAAGTCCCGAGTCGGTCCAGTTGTGTTGAGTGTCCCATGTCACATACAACACCTCCACCACCACCACTGACACGAGAGCTTACTTGACCTTGACAGTCGACTACTAGGAAGAGGAGGAGAGGAGGAAGAGGAAGAGGAGGAGGAGGAGGAGGAGGAGGAGTGTGTTCCTTGACAAATACTATAGTTAGTTACCTACCTTACATACCTGACTTAGGGTAACAACCAGTCTGGAGTATGTAAGTACTAGGTATGCACTGTGTGGCAACAACCAGTATGGAGTAATGGATGCTCTGTGTGGCATGTGGTATCCTATCCCTGCAGCCCCAGCCCAGCCCCGTCTCGCATCCTGGACAACTAATTATCCACAATCCACTTTACCAGGCAAGTAAGCCATCTCTCCACCGACAGGACAGGCACCTAACAGGGTTCCCCATTCTTTCCTTTCCCCGTCTTGCTTTGACATCTCACACTGGGCACCTAACGTCTAACGTAGTAGTGGGAGTAGGGCCTCGTCCCAACCCCCTGCTCCTGCTTCATTTTACAATTCCCACTACAGCAGTGCTTACTCCCCTCTAAGTGAACGTCAACGTCGGTACCGCTCTGTTCGCGCCCTACAGTACTCCGTATGTACTTCGATTTGATTTCCCACTTCCACCTCCATTGGCACTTCCTGGAGTGTCCGTGGCCAAGGATGGTCTAGGCTCTCATCCCTCTCCTCTCTCCCCTCCCGTGCCTAGAAGGAAACTTGGCCCTTCAGCCCTTCAGCCCGGTACCGACCATAACTCAACTACGGCCTACAGTTTCTTCGCACCATAACTCAACTACGGTCTACAGCTTCTTCGGCGAGAAGATGGAGATGAAACCAGAGTCGTTTAGGGGGTCGGGGTCTCACACGGAGGACTAAGACTGCGAGGCCACTTACAGCAAATGGTTTACTGTCATCGCAGTGGATGATGTGCCGCTGAGGGAGGGCCTGTTGTTGACCAAGATTTCAAATCCAATGGAGCCTACTACTAACCCCGGCTGGCTGAGTGGATGTCTCGCGAGTGTGGTAAACGGTGGACGCAAAATCATCAGACATGTGTCTTGAAAGTTTCGGAAGGTCATCTTCGCGTGCTTCTACGGTGGCGATCCTAGATGAACGTGAGCTTGAGCATGGCAAGTGATTTATATGATGAAATGGTAAGTGAAAATGAGGAGCGCAGCATAGTAGGAATCGTAAGTCGTGTTCGTTGATGGTGGTGGTTCTGGTAATGGCAGCGGTGGAGACCCAGTTTCGAAAAGTGCTCGGCCAGTATCACCGTATGTGTATGTATATTTGGGCGAAGCTGTATGCTGGGAGTGTGAGAGGTATGAAAGGAAACCTGACACGAGAATCAGAATCACAGTGAGTACTAAGGTGACATGTACGTGATGGACGAAGCCGTAGGATGCGGTTAGAAATTAGCATTTAGCTTGCCGTCCAGTTGTCGTAGAGGTTGCAATGGTTAATTCAACTGTAAGTATAGGAGAAAGAGCAAGACCTGAGGTGTTTCCTGCCTAAGGGTCTGGAGCGTGGTACTGGTACTGCATACCATTGTACACTGCCTACCACAGGGTAACTAGACACACGCTGCAGATATGGATACAGTCTGGGGCCTTAGCCACCTTAACTTTAGAGGCTTCATTTGCTGCGCAGTTGCAGTTAGTTGGGCAACGGTGAAGGCGTGAATGGAGGTGGAAGCAGCCACAAAAGGGTGCACACATACCAAATCGCAAGCCCCATGCATGGCTTCTGAAGCATGGCATGCCATGAGCTCCCAGAGACCTGCAGGGCGATCTAGGATTCTCCAGTACGGTACAGGGCTGCAGTAGAGCCCATCCCCCCCAAGACACCGAGACCGAGACCATCCGTTGCCTGATGACCAGGACCAGGACCAGCCTCAATGACTTTCATGGAGAAGCAAGGCTTTGGCATGGAAGGACGCTGCAGAGCGAAGAGTATGCCTGGGGGTCTTGGTGATTGTTGGAGGAAATCGTGATCGATGCAACAGGTTATCAGCAACGAGTTTTCGCGCTGCAGTTGAAGCTGGTGGCGAGGCTGAGAATCCAGGGGGGTCGGCCCAGAAACAACCAGGTAGCCATGGTTAGCTGGACATATCCCATGGGAGGCTGCTTGATATGATACGTATTTGTGCTCTTGGCTCTTGATCCCATAAGAGAACTTAGAGCAGAGCAGGGGAATGAGAGCCTTGAAACTGAAAACGAGGAAAGGTTGGATTTGAAAGAAAGGCTAAATCTGCGTACGGACGGTACAGGAGATCCTAGGTACCTAGGTACGTAAGGTGCGGAGTACAGTACATAGCTAGATACCTGCTAGAGGTACAGAATGGAAGCACGAGCTTCCAAAGTCAGCGAACGGCACGGCCGGTTGCGGCATCATATTAGTATTGGCGCGCCGACTACGTAGTACAGTACTCCGTACAGCAGTAAATACTGTACGCGTGAGATCCGCACATTCCTGGCTGGACCAAGACCAACTCCACGTCCCCGCAACTCTCCAACGCGCAAACCTCCAACTCGCAACTCGTCTTTGCCTTACATGCGCCCGGTTGCAAGCACTTTCTTGAACAGGCGCATTAAGGCAGAGCTTGAGTAGGGATCCGCACGCTGTTACCTGTTACTCACGCTGTTACTTGTTACGAATCTACCGAACGTCTTGCTCCTCCCTCCTCGTCCCTCCTCACTCGGCGGCAGACGCAGACATTCTATGTACCAGTGATCCTCGATCTCGATGCATGGAGACCTTGGCAACAGGCTCGTAAGTGTCACTGTGAACACAGCAGCTGCTACCCTTTCTTCTTGTCCCCGGTGCGGTGCAGGACAGCCCCATGGCCATGGCCGCGGCCGCGAACAGCCGAACAGCACGACGCAATGTGTACGCAAGCAACCCATGACTGACTCCTCCTGTGGCACATAGGTCCAGCATGCCAAACGCACGCAGACGCTCCCGGCGCTCCCGGCCTACCAGACGGAACTGGTGCGGGCGATCGTGCGCGAAGTGCGCGATCTCGACCGCGACGTGACGCGCATCCTCGAGCCCTTCAACACGGTCGACGAAGAAACCGGCAGCAGCCAAAGCACCTTCAACCCGGCCGACCACCCGGCCACGGCGTGCGCGCTGCTCGTCGACCATCTGAGCATGCGCCGCAACAAGCGCTGTCTGCTGGCCTACCACCGCGTGCGGGCCGAGAGGTTGGAAGCCATGGCGTGGGAAGGCCGGGATCTGTTGGACGAGTTGCACAACGCGCACCCAGCACAGGCACAGGCGCAGGCACAAAATCAACAAGACCAACAACCCCAGCAACAGCAGCAGCAGTCCTCTGGGTCGACACATGACTCGCTGAGTCCCGAGGAGGAATCGTATTTTCGTCGCTACGTCGACCTGCTCGCTCAGTACAAGGGCCAATGGACCGATGTCGATCTCACCGGCCCGCTCGAGCCGCCGCGCGACTTGTTCATCGATGTCCGCGTGCTGAAGGATGCGGGCGAGATCCAGACCGAGTACGGTGCCATCAATTTGACCAAGAACAGCCAGTTCTATGTCAGGCAGGGTGATGTCGAGAGGTTGATTCAGATGGGCTTCCTCCAGAGACTGAGTTGATGTTGGTGGTAAAAGAAAAAAGAACAGAAGTATGTTGTGTGCATGCGTGTTTGATATACGCACCAGCCTGCCGAAATGCTATGCTACGATGACATGACCGAGAGGGAGAGACCGTCTCTCAGAACGACCACTCTGATACAATGGGACATGGCCTGGCAGATCCATGTAAAGTACATGTAGAGTACGGCTTCTTGCCAGTTGCAGCGTTCCATTCCATTACATGCTACCTCAGCTATCTGCTGCCCTTGATTCGATTCAGCATCCGTGACTGATTCTCTCACCTGTGTGAGTAGTGTCGTTCATTAAAATCCATTCCTTCCGCTTATCGTAGCAGCTACGCGAATATCTCCTGCTTCCTGCCCTGATGCTGGAACGGGGACCGTTATTCTGGGCAATGCAATCTTACATCGATCCGACTGCGTACGCCAGCATCGCAGCTGCAAACACAAGCCCGATCTCTGAAGCGGCTGCCAACGCCTGCCCTGCCCCTGTCGGTGTGGTCGTGCCGCCAGTCGTAGTCGTTGTCGACGTGCCCCCTGTGCCGGTTGCATTCTGAGCCAGCTGCTGGGTGAAATTGCCACAGTTCAGTCTCGTGCCGTTCGCGGCGTGCACCACGACGCTTCTGTTTCCGAAGAACGACGCAGACCGCGGATTGGTAGAAAGGTAGAGGTCAAGGTACGTGACTTGGAAGCTTTTCTCGCGTGCGGTGTCAGAAATTGCGCCATGTTTCCCGCTCAAGTCGCCCGGCTGGCAGGTACCCGGTTGACTGGCGTCGCATGCGGGAGTGTCATTTCGTCCGTAAGGGGAGAGATGGCCGCCGGTGCCGGTGCAGTTTCCATCTTGAGGAACGGGAAGTTCATGGATATGATACTCTGTAGACGGTCAGATTTGGGTACGGCAAAACGAGGAATAAGACTGTGGGAAGGAAGACCACAGTGGTCGGTATATGATGGGTCTTGCACTCACTGAAGGGGCCCATGGCAGCATCCGGGAAGTCGTACAAGTTGATATTGAAGTTGACGCCTGTGCCGTTGCCGTTGGAGACACCCGTGATATGGCCCTGAATGGGTTTGCCTTCTTGCAAAACGGCTTGGAAGGTGGCCATCTTGGGGTTGTCCTCGGTGATTGGAGCATCGCTGGCTTGCTGTTGGGCGAGGGCGGAGACTGTGAGGACGATGAGAGAGAGCATGAAAGTGAGAAGCTTCATCTTGGAGAGTAACTGGTAGTAGAATTCACAACAAGTGCTGCTGATTGTCCGCTGCCAGACAACAGAGAGGAAAGAGAAGTGTGGAACTGAGATGCTGGTAGTAGGGACAGCACAGGATCAACTGCGTAGCAGGGTTGCAAGGTCAGAGATAGCTTTCGGTGGCCAGGTCTTGCGGAGAGTCAGAGGAATAGCTGGGAGTGGTAGGTAGTAGGTAGCAGGCAGCAGGTAGCAATTAGTAGGTGGGTGTGATGGGATGGCTGGATTCAATGACCGGCAACCTGCAGGAATGGCACGATGAGCGCCCGGTGAAGGGTGAAGGGCACGGCACCAAATTCCAGTTGTGCCTCCATCTATTCAGACCATATGTCTCATTCGCAGTGACACCTTTGCCGGAGGAGATTTGCAGATGCTTGCAGCCAGGGGCACATTTTGAACTGGTCTCATTCTCTCTTGCAGTCTGAGGGACGAATCCAACCGAACATGAGCCAACAACACGATGCAAATCCAAACAGCCCGTTGTATCTACAAACACACATATACACACGGCTCGTCGTAACAAGTCCAAGTCCAAGTCAATCTAAAGATTGGATGCACCCAACCTCAGGGGATGGCGGACCTGGCTTCGAATCAAGGCTGTATAACAGTGTTTTGTCATGGGTAGCAGCTTCTGTAGAGTTATGAGAGCTTGCCCTAACAGTGAGCAAGCCTAGCTTCCAGACTCTCATAGCTTTGTAAGTTCGCAGCCTCGTCGATTCCGGATTGTCTCGCTCCCTCACGGCAGCATGCTCCCACCTCTGACTCTCACAGAGCAGTCCTGACTGCACACTTGAAAGGGTATATCTTTGCATTCTTCACATCCCAAGCTCCGCCTTTTGTGTAGGGGTCATTTTCCAACGCTTCTCGCACCTTCTCCTCGTTTTCTGCCTTGATGAGTATGAAACTCCCCGTCATGTCTGGAGTTTCGCCCGGGCCTGGTTGTTTAGACAATATCGCTCCTCCAAACACCACGACGCCCTCCTCGATTTTCGGTTTCAGCGCGGACAGATGCTGAGGTCGGGCTGCAAGACGCTTGTCCAGAACACCGGGGAAATCGGGGATGTGGACAAGCCACTCAGCAGTGGGTGTGCTGGAGGACATTCTGGCGAATAGGCTGACTGGTGCAACCGCGAACGGACGATGCTGTCGAATGAGAGGCGAACAACTAATCGGCCGATGACTGGTGTTTAAAAAAGAAGTTCGAGCCGTGCAGCTACGAAGTGGGAGGGACATGGAGGACAGAGGGACGGGGGAATTGGAGCTGCGAGAGTCGTCTGAGAAGCCGTAGTGCCAGGGGAGATTATGGGTATACATAGAGGCTTACTCACGTATTAGTGGCTATGGCGGGGTCAGCGATATCGCCGCGGGACTTGCATCAGTACGGCCCGACACGGCCCCTCGGGCTCTGCGAAGGCTGAGACTTTCTACATTAGGTGCAGTATGAAGTTCGCAGCGGACGGGAAACCCCTTCTCTTCCATCTAGTCTTTGAGTTGGAAAGATGCGCACAAACACCTATCCGCGTAAATCTATTTGAAGTCGCCAGCAGCCTCGTCGGCCTCCTATTCACATCCCCCTTTTCCAATGCTGGATTATAAGTACTCTGTACATCTTCTGCCTAGATAGGTCAATGTTTCATGTCTATCCAACGCGGCGCTGCATCTAAAGCTTCGGCCTAGGTCCATCCTTGGCCAACAGTGACTCGGCCACCCTTCTTCGCTGTATCTTTCCCGTGGCTGTCTTGGGTATCTCTTTCAAAAGCCAAACCTGCAATCTCAGGTTAGCAAGTCGTCGGGAGGAACAGGTACGCGGTCAAACTCACCCTGCTAGGTTTCTTGAACTTTGCCGTTTTGCTGACGACAAACTCGGTGATATCTTTCTCTGTCACACTTTTCCCGGGTTTGGGAACAACTGCAACTCCAACTTCTTGCCCGTATAGTTCAGAAGGAATTGCGAAGCTCACCGCCTCTGACACAGCTGGGTGTCCAGCGATGACATGGTCCAGCTCGATCGGGCTGATCTTTTCACCACCTCGGTTGATGAGCTCTTTTATTCTCCCGGTAATGTAGACATAGCCATCGGTATCCTTCTTGCCTTGATCTCCCGTCCGGAAGAACCCTCCGGTCGTGAAGGCCTCCTTATTTGCCTTTTCATTATTGAGGTAGCCCATTGTCACGTTCTCGCCTCGAATGCAAATTTCGGCTTCTTTGCCTTGAGGCACTTCATTACCTTGCTCATCCAAAATTCTGACCTCCACTCCTTGACCGAGGCCCACGCTCCCCGGTTTCCGCTTGCCTTTGTGAGGTAATGGGTTGGAGGTCATCTGGTGCGCAGCTTCTGTCATTGCGTAAGCTTCTAGAACAGGGGCGCCGTATGTTTTCTCGAGCTCGCCAAATGTCTTCGGGGACAACGGCGAGGAACAGGACCTAATGAATCTGATTGCCGGCCTAGGATTTGGTGACGGGTTCTTCAAGAGAATCTGATGGATCGTAGGCACAGCCGTATACCAGTTCGCCTTATGGGTCACAAAGTCGTCCCAGAAAGACCTTGCAGAGAATGAGGGAGGGACTATGACGGAACCACCAGCTTTCAACGGTGCGAGGAATCCAGCCAGCAGACCGTGGACGTGGAATAGAGGCATAACTAGCATTGTTCGGTCTTTTGGTGTAAGCTCGTACGTATTCTGGATATTGAGCATGGTTCTCGTGAGGTTGCGATGGGTCAAGGGAACAGCTTTGGGTCGCCCAGTGGTACCGCTCGTATGCAATACCAACGCCACATCCTCAGGCTGAGCATGAGCCACTGACTGAGTCTGCCTTTGGGCCAACTTTCCTTGCTCTTTGACATCCAGCACCAATTTTGACCCGTCCAGATAACATTCCGCAATGGCAGCATTGTATTTCCTTGCTGCCCGTACCGCAGGGCCGTCCTTGTCGTAGGATCCATGTGGCACAAGAACCACCGCTGAGGACAGATCTTCAATATAAAACTCGAATTCGTCTTGTTTGTAGGCAGGATTCAACGGTGCGGCGATGCCTCGCTGCCACGAGGTTGCCAGGAAAGAAACAATGAATTCGTAGCTGTTGGACAATGCTATCGAGACCGCGTCGCCATTCCCGACCCCGAGGTGCGCCAGTTTCGTTTGAAAATCAAGGACATCTTGGGTCAATTGTTGGTAGGAAATGGTCAGGGCCTTGGGCTTCGAAGCTACGATTATGGCAGTGGCAGATGAGGCCCCCGAGAAAGAGGTCGAGAGGGTGGAAGCGGCCATAATCGCAAAGCTCCTCGGGCGAGCTAGACGGCAGTTGGGAGACGGGAGACGGGAGACGGGAGACGAGAGATGAAAGAGACTGAGGCTCCCAAGCCGAGTTGAATCTATGCCAGTGAACCGGTAGCAAGATCAAAAGGAAGCAGAAAGATCAAGATACCGAGATACACAGGAATGACGTGACGGCAGTGTGGACTCGACTTCCATGGCACTGTCACTGTGATATCCGATCTCCAGACCATTGTAATACCGCAGTCTGGGATTCGCCCATCCTCACTGTGGGCAAAAGCGGGCTGAGCATGCGCCTCCAAGGCCGTTCTCATACTGTACATACCTCCATCTACAGCTAACAGCTCGGACGTGGTTTCTGCTTCGTTGTTGGACATCACCCGCACAAGCCCGCGTGCACCTCACACCTCACACCTCGCCCCTGCGCCATCTGCTGCCCCGGCGATTGGTGGACGGACACGTATCCGTACAGATTCCGATCACACTATTCTCCGTACGGGGTACAGATACTCGTCTCCCTTTATGGACGACTCGACTCTCACCCACCCAAGGCGTGCCACTTCTGAAACCACTTTCTCTACTGTGTGCAGCGCCTAAGTAAGGCTGAAACACACCATGATGAATCCTGATCACTTGTGTCGAGACCATGGAGGATTCGGCCCGCGCATAGCCTAAGGCCCCCGCTCCCCGGCGTCCCCTTGATACTCCCAGCTAAGTAAGTGTTACATCTCAGACCATGTCAGCAGCAGCTTTAGCATCACCAACCCCCTCAGAAATCACAGGTCGAGTACTCCGTATATCAACTCGGTTTCCACGGTGGGTGCAATGCGACCCTCGAGATCACCCATGCCATAACTGCGCCTGTCAGTGGCAGCCATGGACCACATTGTTGGACTCTTCCGACCTGACAGCGCTCTGGCACTTCCAGAAGTACCCTACTTGTGTAAACCTGAACACATCAACATCAAGCCGCTCTCCTTTTCAGACTACCCTGCTCAACTAGGGTTCGATAAGCAGGCCATACTCTTTGGTGACTATTCTCAACATTCGGTCTCGGATATAGCATCCTTCTTGCAGACATGGCTATTCTTTGGTCTTTTGGAGGAATTTATTGGTTCTTCTATTGAGCGAGAAGCCTTCCTGACTTCTAGTACACGCGGATCCTTTATCTCTACTCGGAAGGCACTGCCGCACTATCTGAACACATGGGGGAAGAGCAAGCCTAGTGCAAGGAGACATCTCGACCGCGTTGAGGCTTGCGTGGCAGAAGTTCGCGCATTTGTCCCAGCTCTGTTGGATGGCGACTGCCCACTGCCGCCGCCGGCCGCCTTGTCGATATTGATATTAGGCGCAACTCTAGAAGCTGTGACGGTTCAGCAGTTTCCCGCGTTTCCGATCAAGCGGTTCAGTCAACCAGCCAAGACTACTTGGGGTATGCATCAGCTGGTTGAGGAATGGCTGTTGAAGGCCGGATGGTGTGTGAATGACATCAATCGAGCAGCGGAAACCCTGAGTCTACCGACCTTGGTCTTCGCGGCCAGTATTGCCAGGAAGGAAGCTGTTTTGCCGGACACGCATGCTTCCTGTTCTGTAGATGCGTGTGTGGCTCGAGATTTCAAGGACAAACCTTATCATACCCAGCATGTTTACGGATCGTCCTGCGGCTGTAGTGGACATATCGGATGGAGCGAAGAGCAGAGTGCTCAGATGAAGCAGATATTGGAGGACGGCGCAGTCCCTGTGGTGGTGATCAACACCACCTCCGATCAGCCAGGTGCCGCCTTGAGCATTGAGGTTTTGCGGTCGGATCAAACACGATATATTGCATTCTCGCACGTCTGGGCTGATGGACTTGGAAACCAGGAGGGGAACTCGTTGCCAGCTTGCCAGCTGTTGAGACTGAGTAAACTCGCATCGGACCTCGTCAGCATCGAGAGCCGCGGGAAGAAATCCTTCTTCAGCAAGTTCCATTCGTCGAAACCATTGGCCATCTGGGTCGATACTCTATGCATACCTCGAACCAAGCCACACAAGTCCCTCGCCATTTCACGCATGAATCAAACGTATGCCGAAGCAGCCAAGGTCTTGATACTCGATTCCGAACTCTACACTCAGTCTTTCACCCCCGATCAGCCCGAGATCATCCTCTTCCTACTCCTGGCCTCAGGCTGGGCGCGACGAGTGTGGACCATGCAGGAAGGATCGTTGGGGTCTGACAATCTCTACGTCCGCACGGCTGATGACTTCGTGAACATCTCCGCCCTTTCACGGCAGCTGGAGAAGAAGTGGGAGAAAAGCGACATGGTCACCGACACGGTCTGGATTGACGCATCCATCATCGTCCAGGAGTTCAACTGGCTTCGACTTGCCCATTCGAACAGCTACTGGCGCGACCGCGTGACCGCTGTCGCCGTGGCGTTGCACCTCCTCAACGGGCGAGCGTGCACCAATGATGGCGATGCGTATCTCTGCCTCGCGGGCATGATTGGACTTCCGCCTCCTGTGGTGCGAGAAGTCGCCGACACTCCGGTGAAGGAGAGGACGATGGTCCTACTCCGAGAGCTGCGGTACGCGCCTCGCGGCATCATTTTCTCTCCAGGTCGGAAACTGCAGGTCGACGGGTACAGATGGGCCTGCGAGTCATTCTGGAAAACTCAGGCTTGGAATGACGACCAGGTGGCCGAAGTCAAGGCGATGAAAGAACTCAATGGCGGCGTCGGGCTGAATCTCGAGTACCAGGGCTTCTTGTTGAAACCGTTTAACTTGAACCTCTCCGGCCAAGCAGCAGCCAACCATGGGTTTGTCTTTGAATACAGCGCCGCCAAACTACAGTATAAGGCCGTGTTCGACAAGTCGGCCGGGGAGATCACCCAGATCTTTGCCGGCTTGGCCTATGACCCCGACAAATCCCGGCTGGGGATCCTTGTACCGGAACGAAACGTTGCGCGCCGTCCTATGCGGGTTGCCTCGTATCCTGCGGCCCTCGTGATGCTGGTTGATCGCAAGCGGTCGCTGCTCGAGAAAGCGGATCCCTCCAGGCCGATTGTGTGCAAATATGTCTGTCAAATCACTCTGGCCGCAGCGACCGCCGGAGATGTAGAGTCCGCAAAGAGCAAGGGAGAACTCGGGCAGGCCGATCGTCCGAATATCCACATGAAATTCTTGGGAGCGGACGAGGGCGTCTCTTATCATTCCTTGCATTGGTGCATTGCCTGATCTGATGTTGGGGCCATGGGCTGTGTTGTCAAACATAGGGGCATTCCCCAGCCTCGTCTCTATCATCCATCTAAGGCATATAGTCAGGGCTCCCCTCGCTACGTCGTGTGTTAGATTTCCCAGGTATAGGTCTATGATCCAGCGCGCCCAAGCCCAAGCATAAGCCCTACTACCCCGATTGCAAGGATCCTGGATCCTATCCTCAAGGACCCTGATGTTGAAAGGCGTGTCGTATTTTATTATGATAAGGAACGCTCATGCGGGAAGGATAGAGCATTCCAAGGTCCTCGAAATCAATCCCACCCTATCAGCCACAATCAAATCGAGCCCTGCGTCTGCCTGGATCTAAAGTGGAAAATGGCAGAGCAATGTCAGCCTCAGCCCGCCATTCATGCGTACTGTGTATTCGAAGAATGATTCCCATGCAGTGCATGGCCGATATTGCAAGAACACAGTAGTGGCCCCCATTCATATAGGCATGAGTATGAATATGAAGTTGAGTTTGACGTACCTTTGCATTTTCCGGGACATTGTTGAGCGGTCCATACGAGGCACAGCCTAGGCCCCGGCTTTTAGTGTAGGCAATCAGCCGTGGACACAGGATCAGGGGTTCCGAGGCGAAACAGACACCGGCCAAGCTCCAGAGATTGGCGAAATGGACCGCCGCCTGGACACTGGCCGTTCGGACCTCCTTGTCTTTGTCCGGTGGCTTTCCGGCATTCGTGATGAACATGACGGGATATTTGTGTTGTTTGAGTTTCAGCAGAATACAAACCTCGGGACTGAATGACGAAAGGATCATGACTCTCCGGCCGGCAAATTCCTGGAGCACATCCAGCACCTTGTCGACAAAGATGTTGATCTCGATGGCCACTGGGGCTATGTCGGCGTCAGAGGTCTCATGCACACGCGGGTATTCTGGTCCGAAGCATGTCAGTGTCTTTGCAGCCATCTCTTCAGCTCCTACAGCAAAATAGCAGCAGCAGCAGCAGAAGAAGGTGTTGGAGTTGTAGGAGCAGCGGCAGAAGGAGTTGGAGTCGCAGGAGCAGCAGAAGAGTTTATACATACTGACTTCAATGTCCAACTTGACATGCTCTGGCAACTCTCTCAACAAGCCTTCCAAAGTTGGAAACTCCTCTTGAATGAAATCCCCCCGCGTGTTGGGCTTGAACCCCTTGTCGGTGAAGTCAAAGGTATGTTTCATTCGATCTTGAAGCGCCTGGGCTTCCGGCCCTTCCTGTTGTTTCTGTACCAGAGACAGCACACGTCGTCGTTTGACGGTAGTCTTATTCGTGCTGTTCTCGTTCTCGTTCGTGGGTGATGTCGCGTGTGAAGGCAAGGCTGGTAGTTGGATCTGCGGTCTCTGGCTTCTACCTGCATAGAGAAACTACAAAGGAAAGTCAGGAGGACTGCTGCTCCGCAAGGATAACGCATAGGCGACCCAACTTACTTGTTCCAAACTCAGGTCGTGGATGGGCACATCGGTTCCAGATTCACTCAGTGATAAGTCATGGTATGCCACCGGCACGAGATCTCTCGTCACCTGCAAATCTATCATTCGTTAAGGGGGTGAAAATAGGCGGCGCGAATACATAGCTCATTACCAAACTATGATGGTCAGTTGGTTCACTCATTCGACCATTCGACGTATTGGATCGTACCTCGACCCATGATGCCCCTTGCTTCATGGCTGATAGAAAAGACTGGATTTGGTGGTATTAGAAGAAGACTCTGTCCGCCTGAAGAAGAGCGTTCGTTACCTGGACCGTGTTTTCTCCAAGCTGAAGATAGTTTCCCTGCAAGTTCTGACCAAGTCCTGTAGAGGGTCAGGATATCTTGAGCTAGGCCACAATGGAGTGAAGAACTACCTCTGTGTCCGGTGATCTGGATGTTGTCTTCTCGAAACCAATAGCCTCCTTCTAGAGGATTGTCTAGTTTGGTGTATGGCTTGGATATCACCATTGTGAAGGCGACGAGGCCGATACACTCCAACGTGTCTCTCGCCATGATGGAAGCCACGAACTCTCTTACCAAGCTTTCACGTTTATGATCAAGCTGATGGCCGTTTTCTATCAAGACAGTGCCGCTTCCGATCAATTCCTCCTCCAAGGAATGCAACGTGGCAGTCTCGCGATATAGATTGAATACCAGCTGAGATCTCTCGGAGAGATGGCACGGCAATACAAAGGGCTCGTTCGCCAATTCATCAATCAGGGGCAATTGCACTCGGCGTCTAGTGTCTTCACCGCGAATGGACAATTCCAGCCAAAGTCCAATCTCCGGAACTGGAGGTGAGTCAGGGCCTTCGACAGGAGGAATCAACTTCACCGGGTCGAGAAGTCGGTTCTTCTGTAGGGAACCGAGGTTCACGACCACGTAGCTGTAGTCTTTGGCAATGGTATTGTTACCTACTGCACCAGGTCTGCGATAGGTGCCGGGAAGATTGCAGGTCGAAGTCGTCCTGGTCCATGGGTGAAGCAGTGTGGCTAGCTCGACGTATCCTCTGAAGGCGGCATGGTCTTTGACCGACCATCCTCGGATGTCTAGTAACGTGCAGTCCGCTCCGGCATGAAGGAGGAGCTCGGCGATGACTGAATGACCCTCAACGCAGGCAATGAAGAGTGGTGACCATCCGTAGGCATACTGGGCCCTGTCAATGGCACTTCGAGTCGAGGGATCTTGCAGGAGCAGTCCAACATAATCGTCTCTTCCGATTTTAGCCGCCATGTAGAGTGCCGTTTCTCCACGGCTGTTCTGTTCGCTGATGCCGACTTGAGCTGATATGAAAAGTTCCACTATTTCATCAAACCCAAGCATAATCGCAATGATCATGACCTCGACGAAAATGCCCCCGGCTCGCTCTTTGAAGCCGGCTGAGCCATTCGGCTTCAGATACCTCAAGAAAAGCCTGGTAATATCAAGATGGTTACTGATGACCGCACAGTGTAGGGGAGTCTCATTTTGAAAGTCCGGCGACAATATCCATTTTGCTGCTGAGTCCACGTCTCCTGAATCATCTTTAGAACTGTTCAAGACTAGCACACAGATTGATGTTAATCCATATTCGGCAACATAGTGAAGCAAGAGTCGTCCCGATTTGTCGTGATAGTGCAATCCACCTTCATGTCCTAGATCAAGCTGCTGAAACAGCTCGAGTAGAATGTGTTCTCTAGTGTGTAATGACTTAATATCAGCGATTTGGTTGGAGGTAGTAGACCTTGGACCGAAGGACGGTCGACAAGGTCGACAATGAAGTTTGACAAGGTCGATGATGCAGGCGGACTCCATGAATACATTTTCCGCTTTATTTGCAAGGAAAATGAGAGAGCGCAAACAATGCCCTGAATGGTGAACGAAGGCAGTATGAAATAGACCACTGAAAAGCTCCTGGGCTTGAAAAGGAGGCAGTGTACCGTTGGCGAGGTACTGCCGACAGAAGTCGATCAGTCTCTCATGTTGATCATTTCCGATTAATAACAGTACTTCGCTGTAGAGTTTAATGTCAAGCTTCAGCCGGAGAAAAACGGTTCTGAGATGTAGTGACTCTGATGGTATCTTTGCGGATGCAGCACGGCATGCGCTTGTCACCTTTGCACCCAAAGAAGTCAAGATTTGTGAGAGCCTCAAACACTGTGCCTCACGCACCCGCGACTCAGAAGACCGCAGCCATCGAGACTGGAATGCATTACCACTTGCTTCATCTCCCACTTCCATGGCACGGACCTTGGCGTAGATCTTGGAGATTGCATGCTCGTTGACTCTTAAATACAACTGTAATCTCGCAATGTGCTTTTCAAGTTGGGACAAGGCCTGGGATAACACCAAGAGTTCAGCCAAGGGGGCGGAGTGTAGTACAGGTATACGACTGCTTGACGAGGTATCGATGCCGAAATACTCGCATAAGAACCCATACTCGCGGATCACAAATTCGTGCTGTTGATAGTAAAATGTGTTGAGCGCCTCGATGGAGTCACCGAGGGTGGAGGAGAGCCCTGGTAGATTGTCAGCAGGGGTCCCAAGCCTTTACCAGGGAAAACAACTCGTGAAATCCGCGCCCAGGCCGGAACTCAGTCTCAGTGAATGCATGACTGCGAGTTTGTAATCTTGCTTGAGCTGAGCATAATTGACAGAGCTTGACGCCCATTGGGGGACAAGGTGGCGATGGTATTCCCGACCAAACTTCATTGCTGCTTGTTCACAGTCTGAACATAGGCTTTAGACAGGCCTCTGTCTGCTGTCTGCAAGGCCGATATATAGTAATCTAACTCATTGTACATGGGGATGGGTTTGTCGTAGGGTTCCAGGTTGATGCTGTACAGAGTGGCGAGACCGAATGGCCACGGACTTTTTCATATCGGTATGTCCATTGATCGAGGATATCCAGACACCTTGAAATGCATCTGTTACATGAACAAGGCCTTATAAGGGGGGGCGTTGATAGATCCCACCAGATAAGATGCTACGTAATTTAGTACGGAGTATTTAGTAAGACATATTAGTGCACTAGCACCAAGACTAGTAGGTACCTCTACCGCTGTACCTTAGGGCGGCATCGCTCTTGTCCAAAAGGAGGGTGAGCTGGACGTGAATTCACCTCGTCTCAGCCCCAACACCATGACACTTTCGGTATTAGTATCGTAGTCGCCTCCCTCTTTGAAGGTGGCAGACACACGACGCCAGCAGTTACCATCATGGCGGGCAATACCCCCACACCCTCCCGAGGAGGATTGTCTCTCTATGCGAACCTGCTCAACCCCAACAGTGCTACTGCAGGCACAATCTCGAGCGCGCCGGTGTCGTACACCAAGCCAGCTGAAAGCTCGCCCGAACAAGATGAAGCTGTTAAGAAGCAGCAAGCCCTCGCTGGTACATACATTGTCGTAAGGACCTACAGGTTTGCTGAATAGATTTGCTCACGTGTGCCATGCGCTTTCGGTGATATGCAGCCTCCCTGAGATTTCAACCCGCCAAAAGACCGCAACTAGCAGCCCAAAAGGCAAAGGCAAAAGCCATTGCCGGCAAATTCGCCGCTCTGTCCTCCTCGACTCCCAGTGCCCCAATAGGGACAGAAAATGCATCGACAGACACCCCAATCCCTCGAACTTCTGCGCCCAAGACCAGTCTGGCAGACTGGACAACTATGGGGTCGGACGATGACGATGTAAATAGTTTTTACACCAGCCAGCGACCGCGTGCAGGCCGGAAGAAGCGCAAGAAGAACAAGGAAGCCGTGGAGTTTGCTCAGAATTGGGACGATATTTATGACCCGAGTCGTCCAAACAACTACGAGGAATACAAGAATAGTGAAGAAAAGATTCGCGAAGTCAGAGAATGGAAGGATTTTCTTTACAAACATCGGACAAGACGGAGGGGTACCAGCGATTCAGCAGGTGATGACTATGGTCGGCCCATGAATAGTACGAACAGAGACGAAGGCACTTTCGTTATGTACCTAGCTGACCATCCACAGGACAATTCGCACCCCCACCTATGTCTTTTGCTCCGCCAACAAACTTGAATGATGAGAGCCCTCAGCCGCCGCCACCGCCACCTGCTGAAGTGCCAAATGATGCAACAGGAGAGGATGCATATTTGCGCCGGATGCGGTTGATGCAGACGCAAGCAGTCCCTAACCCTCCGCCTCCGCCGCCTGAAGTCGACCTTCCATCTGGCCAGATCTCGCGAGCCCCTGTTCGCTACAACCTGCCAGCTGCACCCGACGACATTCCGGCCTCTGAAGCTGAGCTGCAAGAGAAGCTTGCACAACCCGAGGAAGAGGCCGACGGCGGCATTAGTGCGTCGCGGTCAAATCGTCCAGGTCAGGCGGGGTTTGCGGAGCGTCTGATGTCGAAATACGGGTGGAGCAAAGGTCAAGGCCTGGGTGCACAAGGCAGTGGGATCATCAATCCCTTGTATGCAAAGGTCGACAAGCGTAAAAAGAAATCCGATGCCGACGGTGGCGGCTACGCCACGCCTGCTGGAACGGGTAAAATCCTGGGAGGCAACAAATCCAAGGCTCCTCAGGCAGAGGAAGAGGGCAAATTCGGAGCTATGTCAGAGGTTGTTCGGCTAGAGGGCATGCTGAGTGGCCTCGATCTGGATGAAGAGCTCGCCCAAGGCGAGGGAGGAATCATGCAAGAAATCGGTGAGGAATGTGGTGAAAAATACGGAAGCGTGGAGAGAGTGTACATCCACCGACCGGACACCGATGAGGGCGAGGCACTGGTGTTTGTGCACTTCGTAAGCCCGCTGAGCGCCTTAAGGGCGGTCAATGCATTGGAAGGGCGCATCTTCAACGGCAATGCTATCAAGGCGAAATTCTGGCCCAAGGAGCGGTTTGATCAGGGGGACTATGTCTAGGTTGGATATCGTCCTCGTACCTGCTTGTGTTGGGTGTTGTCTAACACTGGCTACTGTGGACTTGTAGTATGTATCAGAGTACATGAAACATTCTAGAACAGTCGTGCAAAACATGACCTCGTAACGTTGATGAATGGGCTTGTTTGAGTAAGTAGCGGGTGTGAGTCTATAGTCGATCCCTCAGCCTTAGGCGCGCGATGCAGGCACCGGACGCCTAGCAAATTGACTGCATCATAATAACACCAATCATACATATTCTACAGGAACCAGCCTTGGCCCCCTTTGAACCCTGACCCCTGGCTCGACATTTCCCCAACCTGCTGCAACTGGAGCATGACCGTCAACATCGCGCGCAGTCAAGTGTTCTGTTCTTCTGCGCACACGCACACGCACACGCACACGCACCATCAGGATGTCGGACTTCGATGTGATCGATCAAGCGTTTGCGGAAAGGCCTCAGTTGATAGAGAGAATCAATCATACCCTCGGTGAGTTGCTCCCCGCAGTCAGCCTGCCTCAGCATCCTCACGTTCTCGCTCGTCTGAGTCTGCCTCCGCCTCCGGTGCCCTTTTCTCTAACCAAGCCTGGTCTACACAGTGTTCAATCCTCAACTTGAAATGCTCTTCCAGGACATTGCTCGGTACCACCTGTATAGCCATAGCCCCTACAAGACTCAGGACGTATATGACGAACTCCCAGCGCCCAAGAAGCGCAAACTTGCGACCGGGTCGCGACCGATCAACTCGGCGCCCCAGAACCAGAACCAGAACCGGAAACAGAACAAACCACGCCAGGTGATTCTGGAAGTAAGAGATGTCTCATTCACCTTGCCACAGAGGAAGAAGCTGCATTTGGGAATCGCGCAGTATGGCGCCGACATACACAGCCAGGACACCCACTTCGCCATCTTCACCAGGAACCCTGCGACCAGCGAAGTCGACATGGAGGTGCCTCTTGACCAGTTCGCCCACGCGCTGCGCCTGCCCGTGCCAGAGAAGGCGGCGAAACAGTACAACTTCTGCCTGCTCCCGAAGCCGGAGTCGAGTGTCGAACCGATCATATGGGCAGTCAACCACGGGCCGCTGAAGTCCTGCCACATTTCCAGCCCTGAGCTGGCAAAGCTGGCGCCGAGCCCGGACGAGGTGCTCGAGGCCGCGCTGGACTTTGTTCTCAACAAGAGCAGCGGGGTCGGCCTCACCTTCCCGACCGCCGAGGAGTTCGCCAGCGCGAAGCCGGAATCGCATCGACAAGCCGACAAGGCGTATCATGTCAAAGCCTTCCGCGGCAGCAAGGACGGATACCTGTTCTTCCTACAGACGGGCATCTTCTTCGGCTTCAAGAAGCCCCTTGCCTTTTTCGCCTTTGAGCACGTCGAATCTATCTCGTACACGTCGGTCCTGCAACGCACGTTCAACCTCAACATCGCCTACAGGCAGCCGCCGCCAGGCGGTGACAGTGGGTCTGAGAACATCGACAGTGCCGCCATTCAAGAAGTCGAGTTCTCCATGCTCGACCAAGCCGATTTCCCGGGAATAGACGCCTACGTCAGGCGCCATGGTCTGCAGGATGCCAGCCTCGCCGAGTCGCGCCGCGCTACGAAGAAGGCGAATGCCGCCAATGCGAATGGGAAGCTGTCCGCTCGCGAAGATGCCGCTGGTGGCTCTGGCCAGCTCGACGACGAAGAAGAAGATACACGGACCGAGTTGGAGAAGGCACAGCAGCAACTGGAAGACGAAGAGGACGAGGAAGAGGAGGACTACGACCCCGGCAGCGAGGGCGAGAGCGACGGAAGCGGATCGTCCGAGAGCGAGGCCGACGACGAGCAAGATGGCCGGGGAAGAAAGATGGCCAAACCCCGCAATCTGGTCGCCGACGAGTTGGGGAGTGAGGCCGAGGACGTCAGTCTCTCCGAAGACGAGGCAGAGGCAGAGGACCCGGCAGATGAAGAAGATGTCGGAGATGCCGCGGAAGACGGCGATGAAGGGGATCCCTACGACGACGACGTTGATGAGCACCCTGCACCGTCGACCGAAGATAATGCCGCTTCGTCACACGGTCACCAACCAGGCTGGAGATTTGAGGCGGGCATGCCAGATCCAGAAGACGAGGATCAGTTGTGAAATAGATACAGCAGCGTACCATGTGGCCAGCGCATTCATTCCTCTGTCAAACATCTACAGGTTGGGCCAGACGTCTAGGTGCGTTAAGGGGCATTGACAGCATTTCTATGTATAACAGGTTTATGGGCCTCCCGACGCTCGTCATCATGGTTCTTTTTTCCAATTCCAGCTTCATCGGGTAAATCATGATATACCAAGTCGTCGAAGAGCATCTAAGCTCATCAGCTCGTCTATTTTGGAGAGCACATCTATTGCCCGAAACGGCTTGGGCAGTACAGCATCGACGCCGGCTTCAAACGCCGCTTCGATCTGCTCAACCCGCGCATTCGCGGTGATGGCGATGATGGGGATATGGCGGGTCAGTCGGCCTTGCTGTTGGAGCTCGCGGATTCGTCGCGTGCAGCTCAGCCCGTCCAGGACCGGCATTTCCACGTCCATCAATATACAGTCGATGTCGAGGCCAGAATCGGAAGATGGGTCTCTGGATTCAGGCAGTAGGCTGTCTGGACCTCGCCACGCCTTCAGCTGCGGGAGAAGATCCAACGCCTGGGCTCCATGGTTGGCAGTGTAGATTGTGCAACCCATCCGTTCCAGCTGCCTGGTGAGGACTTGCGCGTTGATGACATTGTCCTCCACGAGGAGAACATGGATTGGGGCCGGCTCCGTCCCCAACGTAGTTTGGGGCTTCTGGGATCTTGAAATTGTCCTCTGGCGCGACAGGGAAGGGCGTCGCGAAGTAGCTGGTGAGGTAGCTCCTTGGAGGATCTGAGCGGGTTCCGGAGGAGCTTTATGAGTCTTGATGTAGAAGGCAAATGTGCTCCCTTTCCCAGGAGTAGAGGCCACTCCGATCTCGCCTCCCATGTTCTCGGTGAGTTCGCGAGAGACGAAAAGTCCCAGTCCTGAGCCGCCATATTTGATATGCGTCTTCTCCGTGCCTTGCTGAAAGCGGTGAAACAGCCTTGCCATTTCTTCTGGTTCCATGCCCTTTCCAGTGTCCGAAACTGAGAAGAGCAGATAGACAGGGTCACCACTCGCACAGTCGTCCGATGATGTTATGTCCTTTCGGGCTTGCTCACTTGGGAACCACTTGATGCCGTCTAGAGGTGGTGGAGGGTGATGGATAAACGCTGATCGTCGGATAGTAATTTTCCGGACTTGCTCAGTCTTTGTGAACTTGATAGCGTTGGTGAGAAGATTGATGAAAATTTGCGTGAGCCGAGATGGATCTAATGAGACTCGGTCCACACCACATTGGGTATACATCTCGTCGACGATGTTTTCGACAGATATCGCGTTTCTGTCGAATTCGGCGCGAAACATTGTCAGGGCAGATTCCACGACACCCTGCGGCTGGACCACAACTGGCGTGATGGACAGAAGCTGGGAGTCGAGTTTCGACAGGGTAAGAACGTCGTCAATTATTCTCTTCTGGTGGGCGGCACAGAGCAATATCGTTTTCGCATTCTCGACGTTTTCTCCAAGGATTTCAAGAGTAGCGTCGATGGAACCATCATGTCGACTGTAGCCGTCCAGGGATGCAGCAATTCCATCGGCGAGTTGGGTGATTGCTGACAGAGGATTTCTCATCTCATGCGAAACGACGTCAATGAAAGCTTCCTGGAGTTTACGAGCTTCGGTGGCTTCAATTGCCAGACGACTCTGGACCTCTTCTGCCCACTTGGTCCGGCTGATGTCGGTGACGCAGGCGACCACGCTCTGTATTATGCCATTCTCGATCACGGGGAAGGCATTTGACAAGATCCAGCAATACTCTTGCTGCGGCTTGGGATTGCCTGTAGTCGGCGGAGGAATCCATGTGCGGTTCAGACGAAATTCTTGTTCACTGGATTTGTGCTGATCGACCATGTTATACCAGAACTCCATGCCCATCTCGCGGTCATCAGGATGAAGGACCTCGGTGAAGGAGTACTCGTACTGGTCATCAATCGAGTGGCTGGTAATGGCATAGAACTGGGAGTTCGCCCATACGATATTACCTCAATCTATGGTCAGCAAAGAACGGGGGTAAAGGATAATCCGACGGCTTACCGTCAGGTGTGAGCCGGATCATGCCAACCGGACCATGTTCTGCAATTTCTCTGATCTGCCTTTCCCGATCTGCTAGTTGCAATGTCATTCTTTCGGCCCGCTGGTACGCTTCCTCGCGATCAATGGCAAAAGATATCGTTGCTGATACTTGCCGACAGAGGGCGTTAACGAACACGTCGTCTTCAGGCCGGTATCGCCTCCGCGGGTTCCACCCAAAGACAAGGATACCGATTAGCCTGCTGCTGACGGAAACTGGAATCAAAACCATGCTGACCGGCCTTTCACCATATCCGCGCCAGACAAAGCCGTCGAGAAGTGCGTCGGGGAGAGATCCGTTGGCCTTGTGAAGAATGAGAGGCTTGTGAGTGGCCTTGACTTTGCGATAGTAGAAGGGGAAGCCTGTAGATCCTCCATAGATGTCGACCCGCGGTGGAACAAGAGCATTGCCATCTGGAGGCAGTCCGAGCGATTCTTGTAAGGTCAATATGCAGGATGAAGGGCTATCCTCTGCCGAATAAGCGAATGCCATGGGGAAATCTTGCTCGTTTTGTCCAAGGGCCTGGAATACGTGCTGCCATATCGAGTCGCTGACATGGTCCGGTGAAGAAGATATTGCATAGAGGGTGTTTGACCTTCTCTCATTGACCCTCTCATTGGTTGTTTCGGTCGCCCTGTTGTAGAATCCTGCGACGTGGCCATTCTCCCCTCGTATGGGTAGCAGTGTCCCATTCCAGAACGTTTCTTCCTTGCGACCGTCGGGCTGCTCTGCGAAGATCTGCAGATCCATTTTATCCACACCGTGCTTCAGCTCTCGCATTGCATGATAGAAGGATCCGAGGTCTGACCAGACATCTTTCCACACTTCCTTGAAAGGTCGTCCTTGGATGTTATGATGCGCTTGGATCATTCTTGTGGCATCTCTGTGCGCTCTCAGGTTGAAACAGGAACAGAGCGACGGACCCCAGTAAATGACAGCCGGGCCAGGCTCCGCTAATAATAGGTTAACGGCGGTACAAAGTGAGGATGGCCAGGTGTCCAAGGGTCCAAAATCGGTAAGTCCCCAATCCACTCCTGTCATAAACCATTCCAGGCCTTCATTCTTGGGGAGAAGGTCAGTCCAAGAGTGGACAGACTGGCGAAGGGAAAGCTGGGTTGGAGATGCATCTATGGGAAGACTGGTTGGTTCAGTTGTCGTGAGCCTCCAGCGACCAGTCGCTTTGTCCAATACTGCCTGAGGGCTACTTGAACCAGAGCCTGGGCATTCCTCGAGCTGGATTGTCAATTGCTCCTTTCCATCTGAGCCCAGGAAAGACGATATATGCAGTTCCTGGAGGGTAAACTTTCGATCCCGTCCCTCTGAGTCGAATACTTTTGCTCCCATGGCGATCTTGCCAGAGAAAACGATGTGACGAGAGGGGGATTGAGAGCATCAACTCATTTTGGTAAACAATGGTTCGCGAATGCTGCTCTAAGAGTGAGGATTTCGAGAAGTCGCATCCTGGTCGATGGAAACCACGTCTTAGAATCCCTGGCTAAGCAGTCCTGCGGCAACCACAGATACTGCTGTAGTCAACAGCTGAAATCTCACGGTCGGAGCAGTGTTGGTTGGGAACGCGTAGCGAGTGTCGATGTTTCGTTTCCCCCGGCTTGAACGAACATCAGAAACATGGTCGATCGACAATATGGATTTTGTAAGTTGCAATCGTGGAAGCAGCTGGGGCCGTGCAGCTCAATAATGACGGTCCTGGAGCCTGTAACTTGGCATCAAACCACGGCGGAAGCGGCGGGTCAGCGTACTTCGGTGGTTTCCGCACTCCAGATTCGTATCAATAATGGACTGGCAGCTGATGGGGCCAGTGGCTGAAGGGCCCAAGCGCGGGTCATTGCAGGCCCGCCACCACCATCGGCATCCATTTTGGATTATATGGAACCTGCTCGACTTCTTTTGGCCTTTTGATGTTTCTGGGGAGACCCTTCTCTTCCGCGTGGTTTCTCCGAAGGGCTAAAGCCTCTTATGGCTTGTCATTCTAGGCGGTCCAATGATCCCCGACTTTGCAAACGTTCTGCAGCGCGGCAACCAACCAGAGCGGGGACGAGATCGGTGTTTGGGAGAGGGAGAGGGTTCGACGATGCTCCGTGGAGTGCCGGGCAGCCGAGCGGCCACTGGTACTGGTTCCATCCCTGGACGCCACCATCACCAGGGTCCGTTTGGCTCCTGGGAGAGATCTGGAGGCATCTGCCGTTGTTTGAGGTGGCTCAAAGCGGTACTCGGAACTCAGAGTAGGTTTGCACAGCGGCCTCCGGTGTTGGTGCCACGGCCATGAGTATCCGTACGGAGCACTGAGTAGATAGCTATAGGCACCTAGTCCTAGTAAAATACCACAGGACTAGGACCGCAGCTGATTACGAGTCCACCAAGTCGGTTCAGTGGTGAGTGCACTGTGCAGGTGACGCGGCAGGGCAGCGGGCACCGGAGGCATGTGTCTGCAATAGCACTAAACTCACACTAAACTCAAAATTCTCTAGCTGGCACTAGCGTGTTGCACCACAGCCACTCATCAGACTACACAACCCTTCGTCCTCGAGACCGCCAATGTTGCCGTCACTGAGAAGTCAGACATATCGATTCTGTCCATCAAAAGGACAGTATATGCTGCTCAGGTTTGGCGCAATGGGATCTCATACAGTTCAACCTCCCCTTCTGGAGGCCCACAGCGATCCTTTGCTAACAGGTTAAGTCTTGCAAGGCTGATCCAGTCACACGAATCTCCATCGCCCTGTCGTACTCGTCCATTGTCTTAATGTCAGCCTCAGATCATGCCAGTATAAGAAGAAGCATGGCTTGGGTCAATATTCCCAATAGAGGTGATGAAACTCGTGAAGGAGTCCGCAGTAAGTGTTCGCCAGTCTCCACAAACAACCCATCTTGAAGAGTGGCGGGCTTGTGTTTGATCCGTCTATTTCGATTGATGCATCGATCCATCGTTCTCGTCACTTATTTGGTGACGTGAGAACGCTTAGCCACGAACAAGACGCAAGGGACACGCCAACGGAGACCCATCTGGGCTGATGTACATATATGAGCTCGCGTCGTTCCTTGCTGTCCTCTCTCACACATTCTTAACTTCGGCCACCAAAAACGCCCTCAGGGTGTGGAAACTCGACCCAAGCGCGAGGTCTTAAGGAGCCTACTTTTGAACACTCAAAGACCCAACATCAACAACCTCAGCCCCGATGGGGAACAGTTCATCCAGCTATTCCGACCCAGGAGACTATCGATATACATACTATGTCTCCCCATCAGGGTCCGACGAACGAGTCTACGCTACCCGGTCCGTGTCACGACCACGGAGGAGAACCACTCGACGCACACGCCCGCGTCCAGGTAGGCGTCGCCATCGCCGTGGCCGTCGCCGCTCACCCAACTCCGCCGTCGCTACTGTCATCGAGCAGATTCTAGGTGACGGCCCGAGCCCACAGCTCCGACGCTTCCTCGCTGCTACGGAGAACCATCCTCGCGGGCCACGAAGTGACGGGTCTCTCGCTGAGGTCCGCTATAGGGAGTACGTCAGCCTACCGCGGAGCAGAGCCCGAGCAGGCCAGTCTAGACGCTCCTACCGTATCCGGATGGACGGAAATACATATAGAGTGTACGACGAGGTACCAGCCCTGCGGGAGATGAACATGCGACGAGCAAGTCCAAGGCGCGGTCTGCGCCTAGGAGACACCTACTTCGATTGTCCCGACTCGAACGGATACCGACCGATGCGGATGTACGATCCCACCCAAGAGGTCGACCCAGCCCGTCCCTGTCAGGGAATCTATGTGGAGCCAGAGCAGCGCCGCGTGAGATGCAGAGGCCACCGTGATTTTTGGTTGTGGGAGCCTGCAGTGGGTGACGACGAAGATGGTGGCCCTGGGCCTGGCCTTAGGGGCCCCGGTCTGGGTCCTGGAGATCCTCCATTCGCTCCTCCTGCACTAGACAACATTTTTTTCCCTCGAGGTCCCTACCCCTGGGACCCGGAGTGGCCACCTGCATAGGGATCAGCTGTGGGTGCAGATGGTGATGGTGATGGTGATGCTGATGCTGATACTGACCCTGACACTCTTGGTAAAAGATATTGTCGCTGTCCTACTCCGCTGCCCCCTCTTGCCACAGCAGCGCCCAGTACAAGGACAAGTGCAAGGGCAGATGCAAGTTCAAATGCAAGGAAGTTCACGCGAGAGCCCCAGTACGCCTTGGGCTGGGTTTCCGTACAGCGCCGCATGTCGCGCTGTCATATCCCCAACCGGGCTGCCCATGCTCATGCGAGACACTGGACCCGTCCTCCATACTGCGGTGCCGTCAGTCCTTACCAGGTGGGTGCAAGGGGAAGAAAAGCCAATCCATGACAAAGCACACCAGTACAGTAGTAGGCCGAGTCAATTCAAATCATTCATTTCATTTCATTTCTGTCTCGTCTAGCTGACCAAGCGAATGTCTACCTTTCCAATATCATTATCATAACCGATCATGTCATTAGGTCGTAGCTCAGCCGATTTACTTCTCAAAATGACTGGCGGGTGGGGAAATGCGATGCGGTGATGCTTCAACTTCCAAGAACCCCCAGATACCCAAATGTAGAGCGGTAGCAGGCTATGGCAATATCACCCTTTGTAAACCGCTGGAAAGTCGGAAAAATTGTCGAATCAATTCATGGCCATCATCATTGTCATCGTGTCTCTGACCTCGGAACACCCATTGGAGGAGGTGGAGCCGGAGCCGGAACATACTGTGGTTGGTGTGAGACTGCACCGTAGGGATTGTCATCGGAATAATGAACCGGCGATACAGTACTGTAGGGGCCGCCATTGTAAGGCGGCGGGCCGGTCGGACGATAAGGGTCATGGTAAGGATGGTAAGGGTCTGAGTATGTCGATAGGTTCGGCATGCTTCCTGTGAACCCGCCGTTCATAGAATGTTCCGCCGCGATCATGCTCATCTTCCTCCTTCTAGCCTCCCGCTTGGCTCTGTGCCGGGCGAGCTTCTCCTTTTCTTCCTTCATTTCCTCGCGATGTTCTTTGAGTTCCTGCCATTCGCTGTAGGCGCCCTTGATGCCGAGAGCTGCAATGCCGAGACTGGCGGCGTCTTGCAATCTCGCCTTGTTTTTCTCATTCTTCGCCTTTTCCTTACTGATTTCACCCTCCCGCAGAGCTTTCCTCCGAGCCTCTCTCTTCTCCACACTCTGCCAGACGTTGTGCGCGGCGTGGATGGTGGCCACGGTCGCAAGACCCCCGGTAAGCAAAGCTTTCTTGCGACTTTTCTTGTGCAACTTCTCATCTTCGGAACTGGAGCCGAGGTCAGAATCCGAGTCTGTTTCTGGGTCACCAGTATGACGCGGTCCGTAGTCAAGTTCATAGCCAGCAACCGGCCCTCTGGGTAGGCTCACGGAACGGGAACTGCTCGTCAACTGGCCATGATGGGGTTGAAAGGTGCTTACATCTCTGGAATCACTGTATCCATATCCTCCATTCCGACCGTCGTCGGAGTAATCATCGTCGTAATGCCTCGATCGCTGCCTCGATCGCCGACGCTCAGGGTCGACCTTGGCCGCGGCATCCTTGAAGCCTAACGCGGCGAGTCCTTTGGCGGCCATGCCGGACACACTTTGACTTCGTTTGCGACGTGGAGGGCTTCGACTGTCCCGACTGTCGTATGAGGAGCTTCGGGAGCGAGCACGACCACGAGACCGAGAGCGAACATGATCATAGACTTTCTTTGCCGCCGCCGCCACCACGCCTCCAGCCGCCAAGTCTCCCAGACCCCCGCGGGATTGGCTGCGGCCACGACGACTGTCGGGGCTGCCAGTCCGACCGCGAGACTTGGACCGAGGACCATTAATGACACGGTTGGCAGCGAGACCGGCCAAGGCAGACCCGACAATGTCACGTTTGGCATGGTGATCAGGATCACGCTTGTTGGAGATCAAGCCGTCGACACCGCCCGCGGCAAGAGCAGCAGTCAGGACTCGCTTGCCCTTGTCACCGCCCCAGCCGCCGGGTTCTTTTCGAGCGCGAAAGGCTTCACTGGCACCTGCCAGGACGGCCGCCTTGATCACCTGAGAGACTTGTTCACTTCTGACCTTGCTCTTGCCTCGGCGCGACCGATCTGAAGATGATCGCCGGCCACCTGCGCGGCTACGGCTTCTGCGACGTGACACACGGTCGCTGGACACGGAGCGGGACCTGGACCGATCGCGGTTCTTGCCTAGCACGGCGGCGGCGACCCCTCCTAAGCCCAGAGAGCCCAAGACTTCTTCAGTGGTGGACTTCCTCCGTTCTCTTTTCGTAGGAGTGCGACTGGGCAAGGAATAGTCCGAATCAGAGTCACGGCGTCTGGAGTGACCTAAAAACAAGTCAGGAGTGGACGAGACTGTGCATGCTGGGTCAACTTACGTCTATCATCATAGTCCCGACTTCCGCGCTTGCCGACATATGTCACGTCGTCGTCACGTCGCCGGCGAGATGTGTAGGAGCGGTCATCGTAGCGGTCGTCAAAGAAGCGGTCATCGGTTGATCGTGCACGGATGGGGCGATGGCCACTCCGGCGCACGGTCGTCTCCCGATAGACGGCGGCGCCGCGATCTCCCGGGGCGAAGTCTCGGCGCACTTCCTCGACTGAAGAAGTACTGTCATCACGCCGCTTGACTAGGCGGGTGTCTCTGACATCTTGATCATAGACGGTACCATCGTAGTAATCGTCTCGGCGTGATCGCTCTCGGGTGCTCTTGCGACGGGACCGATCGTCGTCATAATAGGACATTGTGGTCGGAGGTGGAGGCAGTGAGGCTGAGTCAAGACGAATCTATGAAGTGCTGTGTAGCCCAGGGCAAACTGGAGCCACGGTAAGGGACGGGTCGTAGCGATGCTGGATCGCGGCCAAACAATTCTGACTCGGATTAAGGGAAGACGGTAGGAGGCGAGAAAAGAGGATTGTGAGAGATTGAAAGGTGGGATGCTTCTTTTTCAAAGCAGTTGGAGTGAGCCAGTTTAGGTCGGTAGCTTGGCAGACTGTAAGGCTCTTTGGTGGGCTTGGAGTGTGCTGAGATGGATGAGATGGGTTGTTGGTGATTTGGTGATGGTGGCTGGTAAAACCGAGGAGGAAAAGACCGGGCAGTGCGATGGTGGGAGGGGACGAGGGCAGCCTCCTTCGCCAGCGGGCGGCTACGTAATGATGGAGCCTAAGCTGGGTTCGAACTGTGCGAACAGGATGATGGGGAGAGAGACTCGTCGCTTCGGGCAGCAACAGCGCCTGGTTGAGCACAGGGGTGGGCTGAAGGGCAACCAGGCAGCTTTCTAGTCGGCCGAATCGTTGGATGGTTGAGGCCACACACAGCCCAGGTTGAAGAGGAGGGGGAGGGTGCGGATGAGAGGACAGACTGGGAGAGACGAGAGACAGCGCAGGCAAGACAGATGCGGCGGTGGCTGGAAAGGTAGAAACAGGGACGAACTGTGGCTATGCAAGAGGGGCGTAAGGCGTGGCTTGGGGCACAGTGTCTACCAGTCACTACTCGTACGGAGTACAGGCACCTAACAGGTACTATCCTGCAATTTGATCCCTCACCGCCACGTCAGCTTGACCTGTTTCGAAGTTGAAACGAGGCGCCTTGCAGGCCCTTAGGCATAGGGACGACCCATCACTTATCCCCTATCCCCTATCACCTATCATCACGTCCCTGCCCCTGCCGCGTGTTGACCAATAGGCTTGCCTCAACCTCCGTTGGAGGGGACGATGCCTGGGCGCGTGAGCATGAACACGAACACAGCCTCGTCGCAGGATCTTTCAGAAAATCTCCCGTACATAGGCTATGCACGGGGAATTCGGAAGGGATTGTGCCTTGCCTTGACTCTTCCTCGCTGTATCTCCCAAGTAACCCTCCCACCGACATAACACATACTCGACGCAGTTAGCAGTCTGTATCAAGTGCCGTAGGTCGCCTCCGAGAGGCCCAAATCACATTCTGGATTTCATGCTGCATTTCAGGGAAGGAGAAAGTACAAGCGAGACCATAAGATATACGTACTCCGGACGGTAGACTGTGGACATCCTGCAAGACCCTGGATGTCAGAAGATCGGTCAAGGCCTGCATGGGTGGATCTTGAGAAAGGGAGGAGATCTGGAATGTGTCAGGGGCAAATGAGATGTCAATAATGGCGGTGTCTATATCAATACCGACTCTAGAACCAGGCAGGCAACATGCTTTCGAGTGCCGGGGTCGGTGCATTCTCGAGACTGGGCGATTACACGTCAGAGTGAAATCCAGAACCCTTGCACACCTCGTACCGCACACGCGCGCACACAAGCAAGAGCCAGCTGTCAAGACGTGGTTGTATCTTCCAGAGAAACGGGGGACACCACTCCGTACTGTGTATGTGTACCAATGTCTATGCCCGTACTGTACATACCTAATAGTACCTGATCTACCAGGTACCTACGAGTACCCAGGTATCTGGTATAAACATACCTCATGTACCTATTAGGTTGGTGCCCATCTATCTGTACGGTACGGAGTAGACCTTCCTACCAATCAGAGGACGCTGTTCTACTTGACCGACCTGTTTTGAGGTCATGTGTCGCCCAGACCTGTCCCGGTAGGTGTAAGGTAGCATCTTACTGGTCGGCTGGCAGCGGAAGCTGGCCGGAAAAGCAGACCCGGGGGCTGTAACTTGTTCTAGGAAGTTCGCTGCACGCCATACGGCGTACTAGGGATGATGCCCCTAAAAGCCAACCAAGATAGCTAGCGGACAGCAGGGCCAGGTTGCAAGGCTCTGCTCTGGGTTTGGGGGAGAGGGGAACCTTGGCCCAAAATTTCATTGCGAGCCTGGATCGAGGGATTGGGCCTGGATCGGGATTTGGAACTTGATCTACCACGCCCTGATGTCACCTTGTCAGCCCGCTGCGCCGCTACTGGGGCACCAATGGGGGGTGGAGCACAAGCCTAAGGTGCCCTGTGACGTTCGAGACTAGGCCCTGGCACCACCTGGGGCCCCTGCACAGAAAAAGTTCGATACGAGGTTCCGGGGACAGTGCGCATGCTATCATAGGCCAGGCACCTACAGGGTCTGAAGAAACGAACTGTGCCATGTTGGAGCCATGTGTAAGGTACAGATATCTAGGTACAGAGTACAGGTATCTGGTAGGTAGTAGACACTGTCTGGTATCGTGCTGACTGGTGAGACAGGTACCAGGTACCTTAGACTCAGTAACTACCTGTCTCACCTGGTATCAACACCTCTCCCCGTCCCAACTCAGCTGGGCCAAGTACCCAGTACCGACTCCAGCAGCGTCTAGACCGGTCATTACACCCAGAAACCCCTCAAAGAGGGTCAGTCGCGGTAACAGCAGACCACCCTTACAGCGTCTAGATCGAGATTTCGTTTTGGTATCGGTCGATCGTGTCTGATATAGCGGACCTTGTTGACCCTCCTCACTCTTGGTCATCTCGATCGGCTTCCGTTTGTCGCCCGGCCACGATGGAATAATACAGCTCTGACTGAACTTTAGGTACGTACCTGGTACGGAGTACGCCCTACTTAGGTAGGTACGGATACGTGCCCCTCGTATGTGAGGAATACGGTCAAGACATAAGCCACTCGCCCCCTGTTGAACCCCCGGCCTCAGGCCCTGTGGCTGCCGTGTGATTTGAAGCCATCGTCGATTGCGTTTGATAGACACTGGACACCAGACACTACTCGTACTGTTGTCCAAGCAGCTGGGAACTGCGGATCTGCCTAATCTACCATGACACACCGTCGTCCGTCGTCCTCAACCCTCAACCCTCTCCACCCCCTCGGCCTCCATACCATCTGTAATTAATCATTTAGTCTGTCCCTGTCTCTCCCGCTGCCTGCAAAAAACGAGCTGCGTCAGCCAGAGCTAAAACGCACGCGCCCCCGGTCCCGCGTCAAATGCCATTCTGAACATTTCCATACCATCGATCCCCCGATCCTCTCTGCCTCTGCCTCCACCTTACCGCAGGCTTTCCAACTCTCGCCCAAAGCCAACTTCCCGGCCTGGCACGGAAAAAAAGACCGCTCGAACTCCTCCCTCGTGCGCCTCAAAAAGACCCCTTCTCCTCTTCCGCCGACCCTCCTACATCTGACCCTCTCTTCTTACACCTCAAAGCGAATAACGATACGCTGAACCTCGTTCCTCTTTCAAGGGTCCTGACTACTCCCTACAGCCCTCCCCATCTCCGCGCTTCGCTTACCATCCCTGCCAACCTCTATCGGCAACATACACAGTACGGAGTACAGAGTCCGCTGTAGAGTACATCGAACAGCAATCAAGATCCGCCAATCGTCCGTCCCTCGCGAGCCTGCCGCGGTGTCTCTTTTGACGACGAGCCAAAGTCCTCTCCGTAACATCCCAATCTCGACGACGAAACACGCTGTGATCATCAAGTACTCGACTTCTGTACCGCTCGAGCCTCCGACGCGCCTCGTCCCAAGCCGCCTTTACATGACTACGTCGCTGTCCTCTCCTTCCCAAGCACTCTTTTCACCCCCCATTTTGTACCAGCCGCCTGTCCGCTGGGCGCAAGGTGGTTGTGTCAAACAATGGATGTTCAGACACAACCTCGAGAAGCACGCATCTTCTCGATCTTGAACGACAACGACTGTCCATCGTTCGTCATTCCTCTCCGACAGTCATCTCCTGCGCCGTCCACGTCGGCCGCTTCCAGCTCTACCCCGGCTTCTCCACGACAGCAGAAGGGGAGGAGGCCGAGTCTCCTACGCCAGGCCCAGTACTGCCGGACCTCGTCCTTCTCGTCCGCCGGCTCTCCTCCTCTCCTGCGCCAGTCATCATCCTCCTCCAAGTCCTCCAATTCGAGTATGGACTCTTCTCCTTCTCCGGTCACCCCGGCATACAACTATCTGGACAACAACGTCCTGTCCTACGATGCGCTCCTCCGCCAGGACCTGGTCGGCCCTATACCTTCTCCCACCACCATCACTCCCTTTTTGGAACAGCAGTTAATGATCTCCCCTGATATGCCGGATCAATTCTCCTCCAAGCAGATCCCTTCCATGATGCCCGCTCAATATCCTCTTGTTCCTGCCCCTCTGCAACCCGGGCCTGCACATCTTCCTTCAGTCACATCAGCGAGTGCTCCTGTACCACTCACTACCTCTGCTCCCAGCATTCAGACCAGAGACTCTCCCTCGGCGACGTCGCCTGGTTCAGTCAAGAAGAATAAATACCCTTGCCCGTATGCACAATCGCACAATTGTCAAGCTTCGTTTACGACCTCGGGCCACGCAGCACGTCATGGGAAGAAACACACGGGAGAAAAGGGCGTGCACTGTCCGATCTGCAACAAAGCCTTTACCCGCAAAGACAACATGAAGCAACACGAACGCACCCACAAGAATTTGGCGACAGGTGGTAGTAATGGCAATGATTTGGCAGGTCGGAGCAAGGCCGCCATCACGAAAGAGGCACAGAAGACCAAGCAGGTCAGGACGACGGAGACAATGGCCTCGAACGCAAGCCGGCGGTCCAGTATGATCCACTCGCCGCTATCTGAAGTCACCTCCCTTGCGCCCACGGCCATCGAAACCCCTCTCAATCTCGAAGAGACCAACTTCTACTCCCAATCGCCTCAAATGCTCATGCCCATCCAGAACATGCAGGATGGTGTGTCGCCCAACACGATTTATCCACCAATGGGTGTTGAAATGCTTCTCGCGAACGACACCAACCTTCAACAAACCTCACTCCATAAGATGAGTGGCAATGGCCTTGGAAACCATGGTCTGATGCCACCGACCCTTGTCCGGGGATACTCCGATCTCGATACACTGGCGCAGGCCGCCGAAAGCTTTGACCCTTATTACCAACAAGGCATGTAATTCCAGAGGCAACCACCTCGATCACATCCATTTTACGATCCACATCTATGATGTCTACGAAAACGAAGAGATTCAAGGGCAGCACACTATCTTCGTTTCCTTTGCAGAGCGTTGGCGTTCCCTGGCGGGCAACTGTACGGCTATTCTTTGAGCGAGCATACGAGCATATCTAACCATTGGAGGTTCTTGGGACTGGGACACCAACACGAACACCAACCAGGCCTGTCTTGTGACGCTTTGGGGGTTTGGTTTCGGTCACCCACGGCGCACATGGATTGAAATGGTGACCCCATATAAGCAGGGGGGATTGGCGAAGTACTGGGTCTGTACCGTTCCTGGATTTGACATCTGACGATGGCTTCAAGCCAGGCGACGGCGACGGAAAGAACCAAGTAGTGAAAGGGGTTCTTTCTTCCTCTTCGAACCCGCAATAGATACAAGCAATCATGAGTCCTTGGTTGTTCTCCTTTTTCTCCGTTGTTTCTCCTTCTCAAAGTCAGTCAATTGTCTTTCCGCTCCCAAGTGTTTGTGTCTGAGTCGACCAAAAATCAACAGGGAGGAGAGGGACATAGTCCGTAGTATCCGTACATATAGTTATGTACTCCGTAGGCAATCTGGTAGGACTTAGGCTGGGCAGAGGCTGGGCAGCGTGGTCCGACCGGCCAAGGCTGGCTGATATCACAACGGACCGGCACTTATATACTTAGTTACTACTGTACTCCGTACGTACAATCCAGAATCAGACCATCGGTAAGTCATGTACATAACATACCGAGCAGAGATGGCGATGGCGATGGCGATAGAGGGCATCTTCTCACTGGCTAGCATTCATTTCCAACCACATCACTTGCACACACACACACACTCTCTCTCTCTCTCTCTCTCTCTCTCTCTCTCTCTCTCTCTCTCTCTCTCTCTCTCTCTCTCACATACACACGCTCTCTCTCTCCCTCTCCCCTTCTCTCCTGACCGACTAACGGACCAGCCAACCGAACCCGACCCAACCAACAATCTAGACTCTAGACCTTGCTTTCCTTGTCGACAGCCACGACGGTGCGATCCTCGGTGATGGCCAGAGTATGCGACTGCACTGAGTACTTGACGGGATTCTTGGCTTCGAAGATCTTGTCGAGTTCCTCGAGCTATTGGACGAAACCAGTGTTAGTCATAGTAGTTGATATGATATGATATGAACCATTCCATCCGAATCTCATTCTCATTCTCGAGGGGGAAAAATCTCAAAAGGCCAAACTGGGGGGAGGGGAGGGGAGGGGTTGTCTGGTGTCTAGGGAATGCTTGTGGGTTCTTGGACGTTCCTTGGACGGTATTTGCATTTCCAAACACACATCCAAATATCAGTACTTACCGTTCGCTTTCTGGTCTCCGGGAAGAAAAAATAGGCCAAGATTCCCTGGACGACATTCCAGGCGATGAAGATGATGTAGGTCTTCCATTCAATCTCCTTGATGGCGACGGGCCAGGCAAACTGGTTCAGCAGGCCGGCGGCGTTGACGAAGAACGACTGGAAGGCCATGCCCTTGGCGCGGATCTCGAACGAGATGCATTCGACCGGATACAGGGACTGCAGAGGCGTGATGTTGAACGAATAGACCGCGCCGTAGATGAAAATGAAGCCTAGCACCGCGTTGGCGGCGTTGTGGTTGCTGAACTTGGCGTCGCCATCCTGCACGCTGCCCGACACGAGGGAATGTGCCAGCGTCCCGGCCGACGCGGACATGCAGACCCAAACCAGCGAGACGCCGAAGAATCCGGTCAGCATCATCTTGCGCCGGCCAATGCGCTCGACGAAGTGTGCCCCCAGCACCGCAAACACGAATTGGAACACGCTGTAGCCGAGACTGACGTTGGCTTTGCCGATCGAGTCGTTGATGCCCGCCGTGTCCAGCACCGCCGACATGAAGTATGAAAGAACGGAATTGCCACACCCTGTCGGCCATGACGGTGGTCAGTCAGCCAGCATCCGAGAGAGGGGGAGAGGTACAATGGAAAAAGAGAAAGAGGAATCATATCTCGCTTCCGGCTTGATCAGTGCTCAGTGCTCAGGGGTCAAACTCACATTGGGTAAAAGCCGAGAACCAGCAAGCAACGGCGACTCGGTAGAGGTTGGATCTCTTGTTGAAGAGGGCGCGATAGTCCCACCAGCGTTTGTCTGAGCCGTCCATTTCCAGATACTCCTCGTACTCGTTGAGTTGCAGTCGCACCCAAGCCGAGTCCCGGTTCCCAAAGCCATGCCACTTGGTCAGCGTGTTGATGGCCGACTCTCTCTTTCCTCGCGTGTACAGCCACCGCGGACTCTCGGGAAGCACGAAGGCAAAGACGCAGATCAGGCCAGGGAAGACCATCTGCAACCAGATGGGGAGGAGCCAGGAGGTATTGCTCTTGATATCCAGGCCACCGCGGGTCGCGCCCGAGGACAGGATGGCGCCCGCGAGCCAGGTGGTATTGCATAGGCCGGTGATGATGCCACGGTGTTTGGGATGAGCCGTCTCCACGATCCAGATGGGCCCGGCTGCGGCGGCGATGGAGACTCCAAAGCCGAGCACGAACCGGCCTCCCATCATCTGGCCCTCGGATGCGTTGGCCGAAGTCAGACCCTGGATGATGGTGCCGATGACGATGAGGAGGCTGCCGATGAACATGCCCACCCGGCGACCCCATTGATCGATGCAAGGGCCGACAAAGGGGAGGGCGCACACGCCTCCGATCTGGTACATGGAAGTGATGAGGCCGGCCCAAATGCCCTTGTTCTCGCCGTGGAAGTGGGCCAGGAAGTACTCCTTGTTGTTCAGCAGTCCGCCGAACAACATGGTGTCGTAGCCGTTCATGGTCTGGCAGAAGAAGCCGATCAACAGCGCGCAGAAGAGAAGCACGGTGCGAGGATGGGTCAGGGGCACCGGCTCCTTGATCACAGCTTCATTGAAGGCCTCGCTGCCCTTGACCTCTTTGACTTCCACCACCTGATGTTGCCGAGTATCAGCGTCAGCTTCGGCGGTGAGACAGGAGTCAGAGGTGGAGGGACAATGAGAAAGAGCTTCGTCTCGTCCAAGACTGACTTAGACTTACATCTTTGCCGGTGTAGATCGAATCGGCATGCTCCACGGTCTGGGCTGGATCGGCAATCTTCTCCGCGTTGGACATGTTTGCTGTGGGGGATTCGGTCGACCTCTCTCTGGAGATGGCAGAAAGTGGTTGGTGTCTGTCGAGAAGAAGAGCATGAGAAGGCCGAGATGGAGATGGAGATGCGACCGCCCTTTAATAATGTCTCGAGGTCGACCTCCATTCCTAGCTTCGCCTGGTCTGCGTGCAGTATAGTAGAAGTGAGCAGTGATCAGATCAATGCTACTAGCGTCTGCAATCACAAGCCACCCGACGTGAGGCCGAAGAAGGCGGGGGGGAGCAGATGTAGGCCGGCCCACCCTTGAGCTCGAGGGCAAAATAACTGTGGCGGTTGCTGCAACACCACGACTAACGAGCCTCGAAGGCTGCCCACCAAGTCTGGAGGTCGGTTGCCCCGGCCGTTTTCAATCCGGGGACGGCGTGGGTCCAGGCTAAACACAGGTTGTTGTGTGGAGGATACAAGCTAATTCTCAGGGGATTGCCGTAGAGGATTGCCAATGGATGTAGGTGGCAGGTACAGTATTCAATGGTGAGATTCTGGAACAGGGAATGCGGCACTTTGCCAAACATCTGATTCGCTCCAGGAGACGAAGCCACCCACCACACCAGGGAGAGGAGAGTGCTGCCAGTGAGGGCGGTTGGCGCGAGGTCGAGGTCGAGGTCGGGCTGGACGTTGCCGGCGCCAGAAGAACCATCTGTCCCGCATGACTGTGAAGCCGAAGAAACAAACGGAACGGCCGAGGTTCTAGCGAGAGCGAGGAGACGTTGGCTTCAATGTATCGGACTCCGTCCTGTAGTAGGAGTATTGAGTCGCAGTAGTGTAGTGCTGGTGGGCACCGGCGACCAAGTGCCAATGCCAATGCCTGGCCAGTTCCCCCGTGGCACACCCCGCGATATCAAAAGGGGAAAGGGGGAAGGGAAAGACACCGGCCTCGCTTACAGGACCGGTACGGAGTCGGAGTGCTCTGTACGGAGTACGTACTCAGTACTGCATATGCCATACTAACAACGATTCCAGCGTCGATTCCTTGTTGGAACCAGCCGGTGGTCAGGATGGACTAAAAGTGAGACCAAGAGCTTGGACGTCCAGGGCTAAGGCTAAGAGGCCATCGATGGCGAGCGAGCGGAACTGTTATGTAAGGGACTGTACGGATACTCAGTAGTCAAATCGAAGTGTCCTCCTCGACTGCTTTCCGAGGATTAAGCGGCCCGGCCAGCTGACAAGCTCGACTCGACTGTGTATCTCCCAGCGTGATTTGGCGGGTACTAGTCCTGGTAATAATCCTGGTAGTAGTCCCGGTAGTAGTCCCAGATACCAAGATACTGTCAGCTTAAGCCTTTCGTCCGGCGACCAACCAGCTCGTGGATTGTCTGAGTACCGGGTACGGTATCTTTCCTCAAGGCTGATCTTCGGCCGGCAGTCAGGTCAGTTCTTTGCCAGTTTCACCCCGGATCCTGCTCTGGTGATTGGATCTGGTGGCATCGACGACGGCAGCTGTCCTATATTGCGTACTCCGTACGGAGCATTCAGTATTCTGTATCCGTACACACCCTGAGCCAGTCGCGGGTTCGATCAAGTTTTTCTCACTACCATCTTCTGGCTAATTTTCGGCGAGGAGCCGTAACAACGTCCCTGACTTGTTCAATTGACTTCTATGAGGCGTTCGAGCAACTCATTCTGTCTCCGAACTTGGCCTTCTTCTTCGGGGAATAGCTGGCTAATGAAGCGGCCGACAATGAAGGAGACCACGACAGAATGTAGAGATAATGCCTGGAACTGATTGTCCAGTGCGGATTGCTGGGATGCCGGCCTTGTGGAAGGTTGGCAGTATGGGAAGCCAATCAATGTCTTGGAGCTCTCGAAAGTGTCTGATAGACATGGAAGACAGTCTGGATGTCGCTCCGTAAGCGACGTCTTGGGCTGACAGTCAGTCATATATACTTACAGGTACTGTAGTTATGATGGAGGAGCCACTGCCTCGAAATCACCGACCGGGACGAGTCTGTGCGACGTCCTGGTCACCAGACATCGTGGATGTCCGGGGGGTGATAGCGTAGGTGGAGAGTCTGTCTCTCAGGTCTGCCATAAATGGCGATGGTAGAGTTGCTGTGATTCCACCTATTGGGTACAGGTGCTCTGTTAGCATTTTACCAGTATGGAGTGGGCAAGCTGGCCTGCTGCGAAGATGCTGACCGACCACGTCTACCCTATAGGAAGGAGCAGGCAAGCTGATAGAATGAAGATGGAGGAGCAGGCAAGCTGATAGAAATGAAGATGGAGACGCAGGCAAGCTGGAAGGAAGTCGGTAGACATCCTGAACACTAGCACCTTCTTTCTTGGGTACTTGCCTCCTTCCGCTACGGTGTACTGCATGTAGCCTCTCGCTGATATACTGCTGTAGAATAACAAGAAGCCGCCCGCTTGGAACAGGACGGTGAGGTGACCCTGCAGATCAACAGCCGTGCTACCTTGGACTCCGCCACAGGCACGGCCAGGCGTCTCATCGCTTGCCTCCAGTAACCATGGCAAGACTCGATGCCCAGGTCACCACCATATGCTTATCCCAAAAGTCCTCGCCAGCGCCATCATCCGCCATGCCACTCCAATCCCATGTACATTCAGCTGTACCAGTTCCGAAGTCGTGTTGTTGCAGAGCTTCCTCGTATCCGAACCCACCCGGCCCCAAAGTCCTTGAACATGGCCGCCTCAAAAAAAAAGAAACCCC